TAAACTTGCATTGAACCAATTAAAAAGAATTACTTTAATTTATTACAGATAAATTTATAAATCACCCTCAAATAAACCGTGAGCCCTAATCTAAAACTGTTTAATAGTTTAATTTGTTAAGATTGTAAAAAGATTTTAGATTTATATTTTTGAATGAACCCTTGGATCAAAGAATAATTTTGGTTTGGACCAACTTAAAAAAACTGTAATTTGCTACATTAAAATTTATAAACTTCCCTCAAACTATAGTTGTGACTTAGTTGAAGCTGAAACGTGTAATTTAATATTATTCAAAATATTTATTCTGAAATAATAAAAAATACTTGTATTCTACCTATAACCAAAAATGTAAAAGTTTTGAACTAAACTATACTAAATAAATGAAACATTAGCCTATGGTATTGCTAGTTATGTTTTATTCAATAATGAAGTAAATCTGCTGGTGCTTCCAGTATGGCTATATATGTCATGAAAGATGGTAATTAAATTCACATGAGAAATACATAAAAACTGAACAGCACATCATATGACATGGAGTCTGCTGGTTTGAAGTAAAAACATCTTTTTATAGCTTTGGTATAAAATCCCATAAGTTTTAATGCTTTTTGAGACATTAGAGATATAATCAAACTGAAACTACAATGGCTAACTGTGACCGTTTACAGGGCCGGAGTGTACATATGAGGCTAACTAGGCGGCCGTCTAGAGAGAGAGCGAGAGAGTTTTCTTTTCTTTTTTGACATTCACCGACAAGTGCCAAAACATTAGCTTTAAATCTTAAATTAGCTAAATCTGAATACATTTTCCTTTAATAAATTGTACCATTTTCCACTTACAATCCACTGTCCTGTCGCCTTTACCCCCACCCCCAACCATTTAGAGTGGCATATATGTAAAATACTTGAATGAAGATGCAAAAATGTCAAAACGAATAAAACTATCTGGTCATGAAAATAAAATTAATCTCCTCTGAAACTGCAGACAGCGTAGACAGCAGAAGCAGCATCAATGACCATGCTAATGTAATGACCGAAAGAGTGTGGATGTTCGCAAAGTACCTGAGGCCGACAGTTACTCTTAGGGACAGACTGAATAAGTTATATCACTGTCAGAAGGTGAGGAAATATCCCAAGATCCCGGCAAACGGCCAGCAGTAATAAATCCTGGACTTGAGGACAGTTTAATACAGAAAGAGCCACAACAAATGAATTTTTTCTGAGAAAACAGGACATTTTCAGAAGCTCATTTCTCTAGTACAATAACTAACGGGGAGAAATTGGACAGACTATGGCTTATTTATTTAATTAGCAAGACTCTTTGTTTTTTTTGTAAACTTTTTAGTGAGAGCGAGAGAATGTCTGGTCTGGGTAAAGACAACATCAAAGACTGGAAAAATCTCTCTAGCATACTGAACTCACACAAAAAGTCAAGTGAACATGTAGAATTATTCCATAAATGGAAAGAGCTGGACACTCAGAAAGTACTATGTCACAGGACAGGCTCAATGGACTAGTAACAATTGCGATTGAGTACGAACTTGAACAACATTAAAATTGAAGAAGCAATCAAAATGTTTGTGTGTGCGTGTATGTGCTAATCAAGCAATGCTGAAATATGGTTATTTCACTTCCAGGAGTGGTTGGTTACATTATGAATTATTAAACAGAATTAGTATTTTCAGGCTGTTGTATAGGCACTAATTTTTAGTACAAATTTTTTGTAACAATAAAAGAAAAATTGTTGGGAAATAAAAAGGAAATAAAAGAATGCTTGTTTATATTTGCACACACACAAATAACACCCAAGAATCAAAAGAATCTATCTGATCTGTTCTAAGACATTGCATAAACAGTCAGGGCATGATCGTGGTTTGCCTAGAGTGGCAGTTGAGCTTGCTCCGGCCCTGACTGTTTATGAAACATCTTAGAACAGATCGGATACATTCTTTTAACCAGTATGCAGGTGTTTCCTGCTGAAGCTGTCAGAATGATGTAACATTCCTCCAGTGGTGGAAAGAGTACTGAAAAAGCTAACTTAAGTAAAAGTACCTTTACTAGCCTAAAAATGTAGTGTGAGTAGAGTAAAAGTACCTGTTGTAAATATTACTCAATGTAGGAGTAAAAAGTAGCCCTTTTAAAAGTACTCATGAGTAGTGAGTATTACGCTGTTAAAAGTTGATGCATTTACATGTAATTTGTGGATGTGTGTGTATAAACGTAACATTCTGTAGTGCATTTAGTTATTGCCCAGAGGGCACACAATGTCATAAGATGTTAATATTCGGTTAGATTTAGGTTGTGATACTGTTCTTTACTCGCTTCCACTGTACAGTGACTTACTGACCAAGCAGCAAGAACACAAAGACTGGCACTCTTTCCAGGTGGGCAGACCAGGATTGTGATAATGCCACTAGTTAAACAATCAACTACAGAAACAATCATCACTACCAACTTGTTGCTCGCTCGAGTGCAACGGGGCATAATCACGAAGATTACTCAAGCCTATCTCAACGCTTTACTGCCTGCTTAATGCCCCCCAGAATTAACATTTGTGCTGCCTTTTTTCAGTCAGGCAGTGATAAAGCATGTACACTCAACCCCCAGTTCAGGACATCTCAGGACCACTGCTTTTATACACCTCTCAAATCACTTCTGGTGGTCAACTCTAGCTACTGACATTACTAAGTTAGTGAAAGGCTGCAGTGTCAAACCTCTAAATCCCAACATTAAGTACAATACCTGCCGGACTACTAAAGCCTTACCAAACTCCACAACTACAGTGTTAACAGTTTGCTCTAATTTCTATAACTGTTTTTTACTGTTCAAATGAAAACAACCCATCTTATGTTAATCAATCAATTTTCCATGTCGTGATGCCTTATTCCTCTGCACAAATGTATGCCCAAACTTTGAAACTGCCAAAGTACTGTGTAACTGGGTATTTCCGCTTTATGGCCTAAACAGACAATATGACAAAATTGACAAACAGAGGGGCATTGATGTGAATTTGACTTCCAGTTAACATCTACAATCAAATGGGCAGAAAGAATGATGTAAGTAGGAAGTGGCTTACTTTCTACAATCATAATGTCAGCAACACCCCTCAGATTGTAGTCGATACCCCATGTGGGCAGAAAATTCCCAGAATTCACTAATCAAACCAGCTACAACCCTAAGCCATTTAAAATATGTTTTTGGCTATCAACCCATATTTCTCTGGTCAGGGGTGCCTTCTATCCTGGACATTACAATGTCTACTGGACATTTACTTGGACAAGACCCCATTTTAATTGGACTAAAACTCAACATGACTGAAACAGAGACTTTAGAATGGAAGTTTTCCACAATTGCTCAATCACTTATATCCTTTCCTGTTTCGTCAAATTTCTCTCATATGACCAATGCGCAAATGGTAAACAGCAAGTACAGATGCAGGCAAAATATACACTTACCCATTGAGCGTGAATGGTTGTGTATCATAAATTTTACACTAGTGTGGATGGAGTGTGGATTTTTCTGGGAGGCAGTAAAATCGCTAATATGAACGAGGAGTTTTAGAACACAAGTATAGGAAATGATTAGCTGGTATCTTATTCATTAGTATAACAACATAACAAACATAAGCCCTGGATGGCAACATAACTAATAGTGTTTAGATTACATTCACAAACACATTCATGCTATATAAGGGAATTGTTGCAGTGTGCAGCATGTGCTCTAAAACTTTTACAATATGCAAAACAACTAAATGATACAAAACAAAAGATTGCTGAAAAAGATTAATACTTTTATATATTATTAGTTTATACACTGAAAATCCATAAAATATTAGTATTAGATGATAAGAGTCCTGGCAAAATCGTTTTTTTTATTTATTTTTTTTTTATATTGTATATCAATCTTGATTGGTTATTTAAGTAAATATTTTTAAAAATAAATTTAAGGTAATTGACTAAAACTAGTTTTGCTTTGTAATATCAATTATATTTCTAATGTACACTTATGCACAGTTGAGATAAAGATGAGAGTTCATCACTGCTTCCATTTACATGAGGGTTGTGACCAAAAGTTGAAATAATTGGTACACAGAAAAAGGGTTTCTTGAGTTGTGTGGGTTTTTGGTCAGCACCTCAAAGGGACAAGTCACTGTGACTACTACTTTGACTACTGGGGGAAAGGAACCAAAGTGACAGTTTCCTCAGGTAAGACGTTGTTGATGTTTTCTGTTATTTCATTTTTATTTATTTCTGAAGATCAGGTTTGTGCATTATGAAATAAAATATATTTTTATGGACAGCATAAAGGTATGCTCAGTAAACATAAACAATAGCTTAAAAACTTCCCGATTAAACAGTGCACACTTAAAAATAGTAAAAAGTAAAAAGCCGAGGTAGGCTATAGCTATTACTGTGGTTATGGTATGGCTCTTATCTTAAACCTAACCACTGTGACGGTGCCTTTGACTACTGGGGAAAGGGAACAATGGTCACTGTCACATCAGGTAAGATGTTAGACTTTTTTGCTTGTATACAAACAAAATATATATATATATATTGACTACTGTTTGTAGTAATTTTTTTAAGCCAGATAGTTGACAGCAGAAAAAAATGACTTTTAAAAATAAATAAATTGAGTTGTTGCTGCGTGTTTGCCAATATTAAGGCAAAATGGTTTGTGTTATTGTGCACTGAATTATAAAAAAGGTTTCACTGTGACAATGCTGCCTTTGACTACTGGGGAAAAGGCACGATGGTCACAGTGACATCAGGTAAGCAGTTTCCTCTTATAAATGTTGGCACATTTTGATGTTTAAAATATATTATTAGTTTGTTTAGTTTGAAATTTAATACTAGGCTAAAGATAAATTTACAAACATTGGTTTGCACAATTAAATCTTAGACAATAAATTAAAGGCATACATATTGAATTTGTGGGTTAGGAAGATGATAAATGAAAGTGGCTTGTTGAGCGCACTGTATATTTTTGTATAATATCCTGGGGTAAATCTCTCAGTGTGACAATGCTTTTGACTACTGGGGGAAAGGAACTATGGTCACCGTCTCGTCAGGTAAGAAATATACCCAATACTAAATAATCAGATTTAAGTAAAGGTAAATTTGTCAACATTTTGTTTAAAGTAGCAAAACATTTAAATTCAGTAAATCAGTCAAGAACTTTACTTGAATCAGTGAATTCAAGTAGGGCATCAGTCAACAGGTGATTTTTATATTGCTCTGTAACGTTAAAAGATTATTGTGTAACTGGGCGTTCGACTACTGGGGAAGCGGCACCAAAGTCTCCGTAACAAACAGTAAGACTTTTAAAAAGGATTAATTTCAATAGCTGTAATTAATTGTAATTGCAGCGACAGTTCTGTCATAAAATTAGACAAAATGTTTACATTTAAACTTTATCTTTTGCTCATTAAATACAACATGTACATATAGATAATTTTATCAGCTGCAAACCAACTTGTTTTAAATCTTGTTGTAAATACTTGTAAATTAAAAGGCAATAATATTACAATATTATATTATTTGACTGCTAAAAACATCCGTCTCAAACGACCAATTTCATTGTTCATTCGTCAACCATGTATTGCCTTTTACCTCCTCAATAATTAGATGTTAAAAGCTTACAGAGTATAAATTCAAGACTAATCCAAATGTGTCTGCTACGTTTTAAGTGGTATATTTTAGAATTATTATTAATTTATTTATTATACATTGATATCTGACTAACAGTTAAAACTTGATCACTGATCTGAAAAAGAGTTGTCCATATGTTTGAAAAGTGCACTTTAAAATCTATAATGCTACAGTCCTGCTATATGTTTTAATATAGAAATATGTTTGTTTGTTTGCTTAAATATATTAGGATAATAATAATAATAATAATAAAAATAATAATAATAATATTTTATTATATAATAAATAATAATATATTTGTATGTACTTATACATACTGTACAGTGCTCAGTATATATAAGTACATCCCTCACAAATCTCTCTTTTAAATTTATATTTTTAATAGGAAGCTCTACAATATTATATCTGTGCATATACAGTACATTAGCCAGTACTGAAGCCAAATGTGAAGTTTATCTGACAAAATAACCTAAGAAAACGATCCAAAAACTAGTAGACACAAAATTATACAGTATGTTATAGAAAATATTAAATACAAATTTTAAAGAAGAAAAGTCAAGAGAAGTAAAAAAAAATGTAAAAATGAAGTTGAAATTTTGTAGGTTGCAATTTTGTTTTTGCAATATTTTGCTTGAATTTATTTGTATTATCTTTTCATTTCTAAATCTGTTTGGTGACTAAAACATTATTTATTTTTATTAAATATTATTTTGTTTTAAAGCACAAAAATACATAATTTAGTTACATTTTGCAATTTAAAATTTATTTGCAGTAACTTGTTTAAATTTATTTGTATTACACAGTAAAAAAATCTTAAAAGAATTTTATAAACATTTTTAATAGTTTAAAGTGATATATTCTCTATATTCTCTGAGTTAGTGTTGGATATTATGGTAGAAAAACCTGCCCATTATAAACTGCCAGTAAATTTTCTGTTATTTTATTATTTTACAGACTTTCTTTATATAGTATTTCAACATCAAAAGTCGACAGTATTTTAATATTTATCTGTTGGTCGGTCAGTCGGCCTGTTTGTCTGTCTGTCTGTCTTTGATAACACTTTAAATTCAAAGTCTATTATTTAATGTGAGTTACTAAGATGATCTATCAATACACTGAAAAAAAATATTTAGAGATGATTCCTTGGATTTACAATTTTTTTATTATTAAACTATTTATTTGAGCTGAATTTAAACAAACGTATTAAGTTGAACTTTACTAAATTTCAATTTGTTTATTTAAATTCAACCTATATAAATTGTTCGCAACAGTTTTGCAGAAATCTTTTTTTTCAGTGTAAGGCATTTATTAATCATATTTAACATTTACTAACTCATTATAAAAATCTAACATTTGCTCTAATATTGATGTTTGCATTAATGAGTCAACAAAAACAAACAATTATCAACTTTATTTATTAACTAATTCTAAAAAATATTTTTAAATACTGTAATAAAATTATTATTTGTTATGTGTTTATAAATACACTGGACTATTATTTTAAAATGTTATTAGAAGGTTTTCTGCCAATGACACAAAATAACTATTTTTGTTTTAACAATTATTCAAAGTTAGAAAAGTTTATGTGAGAAAAAAGTGTTTTGATAATCACTTTTGTTAAATGTAGCTAAATGTTCTGTGCATGTTAAGGGTTCTTTGTGGATTAATCAATGCCAAAAAAAGATCCTTGATTTTTAATAATGCGTTATGCCTTTCCACAAGCAAGCATTTCATTTCCATGTACTGTATGTACATCTTTGTCAAAAAGCACAGCGCAAAATAATATACAAAGATGGTCATTACTGCAAAGCTAATAGAGATGGATGATCAGGCCTTTAGTCTGTCAGCTTCTTCCACAGACTTTCTTCCTGTGTAAAGTGATCTAAATCAGAAGCATTTTATCACATTATATTATATTATATTATATTATATTATATTATATTATATTATTAATTTGTTGTGTAGTGTTGCATTAGTTGTTGCATTTGTACTTTATTGTGGATACTGTCTGAGAAAGATGTAATGTCTCCACAGCTCAACCATCTGCGCCCCAGTCAGTCTTCGGTTTGTCTCAGTGCAGTTCTGGTTCTGATGGGTCAATCACCCTCGGCTGCTTGGCTAAAGGTTTCTCACCTGCAGACTCACTTAATTTCAAATGGAAGGATCCTGCTGGTAAAGATTTGAGCGATTTTGTGCAGTACCCAGCATTTGGGAAGGAAGGAGATTATACTAAAATCAGCCATATACGAGTGAAAAAAAGCGATTGGATTGATACAAAAAATTACACATGTGAAGCCTCCAATTCTGTTGGAGCCCCAAAAACAGCTTCTCTAGCTCCACCAGGTGAGTTGCATTTCTCAAGATTTACTCTAGTTGTCTGTTGGATGTTACTGTTGGGTCATATCAGATTTTTTTTTTTTTTTTTTTTTTTTTTTTGGAGACTTATGTTTGAAAAGAAATAGCAATTTAATTATTTAACCAGTAAGCCTGCTGTTACATTATATCTTTGTGAATGTCAAACAAAATTAGACGTTGGTAAACATTTACTCTATATCAAGTCTAAAATGGTTACGCCCCATTCAAAAAAATAAATAAAAACATAAACATAAAAGGCTACAAAACTAAAATTTCTTTCATCAAACGCAATAACAACAATCCCAAATAATGTGTTCAAACTCAACTACAAGAGCATCTACTCTGCTTGCTTAATAAAGTATGTTGCACTATTTTTTCTTGCTTTTCATGTCCCCTCTGCTTTCTTCTGTATGTTGCCAGCCCCACCGCCAGATCTGCGTGCAACTGTGTTCTTAACAGCACCTACAAAAATGGAATTAGAAGGTGGATCAGCAACCTTCATGTGTTTAGCCCGGCGGTTTTCGCCTAAACAATACGAGTTTAAGTGGTATCAGAATGATCAGGATGTAACGAATGCGGTAGACAATTTTTTCAAAGATGAAAAGAACGGCTCAGTAACCGAATACAGTGCCACAAGCATTTTGAAAATCAACGCAGAAACATGGAAGCAGGCAGAGAGCAAAGTTAAATGCGTGTTTGAGCACAATAAGCGGAAAGATAGCAGGGAGATCCAATACAAAGGTATGTTTTCCCTTGGGCATTCAAATTGTTTTGTAAAGTCTTAAGTTGACCTCTCTCTAAATATGTTCTAATGCTTCTTTTTGTGCATACTGTAGATACTATGCAAGACTGCATTGACGACAATGTTCATATTGACATCATCCCTCCCACCCCTGAAGACATGCTGAAAAATAGAAAGGGAATTTTAAAGTGCAAAGCCTCTGGAAATCCACAATTCCATTTCACCAAAATAGAGATAAGAGCAAATGATTTAGTCATCGCAGAGAAAGAAGAACCTTTGACAAACCGAGAGGAACTTGATGCTCCTATAAACTATCAAGAATGGAGCAATGGCACTGTGTTCAAATGCATAGCTGAAAACTCAGGAAAAACATTGCCAGAGGAAAAAACTTTTGTCAGAGAAAATGGTATGTACTTTTTTCTTTATATAAAACATCACAGACCTTGTTTTCCAATTGTTTCTTAATTTATGTGTATCTTATTACAAAAATGACATTAGTTTTAAGTTTGACAGTGTATAATAAGCAGATAATGACTTTTCCATTGTTCTGATCATATCTGTAATCTTGTGTTTCAAGGTAAAAAGAGACCGTCAGTTTACGTGCTAGCACCACCAGAGAACAAAGCAAATGAAGCGATGACCCTGACATGTTATGTAAAGAATTTCTTGCCCAAGGAGGTGTTTGTGACTTGGCTTGTTAATGATGAACCTGCGTATGGGTACAAAAACAGCACTAGTGAGCCAGTTGAGAATGATGATTCCTTCTCCATGTATAGTCAGATCACAGTTGAAAATTCAGAGTGGACGGGTGGTAAAGTGTACACGTGTGTCATATATCACGAAAGCATTGACGAAAAATTGCTTGTGCTGACAAGATCTATTACTGATAACATGGATAAGTCAAGTATAATTAATCTAAGTATGACCACCCCAGCACCCTGCAAGGCATAGGTCGTTGTGTATGTGGCGTCTTGCTGTCATGCTTGTTAAATGTTCATGTTGTTTTTGAGTTGCATGTCCATTTTTGTAAGTGTGTTGTTTTTTAATGTTTGTGGCTTTTTGCTTTATGAAGTTGTTTTCATGCACATCGCATTAGGAAAAGATTAATAAAAATAGAAACAAAGCATATTTCCTGTGCAGTTAATTTATGTTATCATTATTCTTTTATTTTCTTATTCCTGTCACTCTTTCTGAGCATAACATGTAACAAAGATATCATATCATAACATCATTCAACATACATTACAACTGAATGTATATCTATAGAAAATATATCAACGTTTAAAGGATAAAAATAATAATAATAAGTCAAATCAACATACTTTCATGTTTTAACCACACATTTAAAATGAAGACCGTAAAAAATATATATATGAAAAGCTAAAAAAACAGTAAATCTAGATTGTATACATGTATACTCATAAAATGTCTGTAAATGTGTATCTGTGTGTTTGTGTGTATTTGTGCATGCGTATTTGTATGTGTTTGTATTTGTTCTCTCTGATATTACTATTACCTAAAAACATACAGCTCATGGTTCACACTGGTTCATCTACAGCAAGCCAAGACATATTCAAACCATATATTTGAGATTGTCAGGGCCATTTTCTTCAATCTAATTATTTAATGAGAATGTTAAGATTAAAACAGGGCAGATAATAATGATTATTTTCAAATAAGTTACTTTATCCTTCAATGTCTTTTTATTGCTCTCATATAATGCAAATTTTACCTACCAGGCATCTGTCTAAATAGAAATGGAAAAACGGGTCAATTGTTCAAAACCATCACAGAAATAAAGGAACATGCTAGACTCTTAAACCGCTGCCTATTTTGAAGAATGTCAGCGTTGTCCTTTTAGGTCATGCAATTTTGTTCTTGTCTATTTCCACAGCCTGGATTGTATGGATAGAGCATCCTCTGTTTGAACCCATCGATGCAGATGACAGTGGCATTGCAAACACTGCTGTAACCTTCATTTTCCTGTTTCTCATCACCTTGTTTTACAGCATAGGTGCTACTTTTGTTAAGGTATGCTTTTTACCTACTTCTAAATTGAGACTAGATTTTATACAAGCATTTGTTATTAGACCCACAACACTTTGGGCCCTATCCTACACCAGGCGCAATGCGGCGCAAGGCGCAACGCAATTGTTGTTTGCTAGTTTCAGCTCGACGCAAGAGTCATTTTGACGTGTTGCACCACGCTATTTCACAACACACGCTGCTCATATGTGCGCCCATAGGCGTTCTGGTCTAAAAATGGAGGCGTGTTAAGGCGCACTGCTGGCGCGTTGCTATTTTAAGGAACTACAATAGACCACACAATAGATCAGATCAAAGCTGGTCTAAAGTCCAGTGCAGAGCACGTTAGTTGTGTGCCTCGCTTACACATTGCTTAATACACACAGGATGTACAGCAATACACAAATATCTTTACAAATGAAAACGAATTAAAGGATTAAAATATTACAAAGATTATTATTTTCTAGTCTACATAAATATAAAAACCACTGCCTCAATGCCTTCATCATCTCTGGGGGCTTTTTCAGTTAAATCATGACAATTTGCTTTTGTATAATATTATGAGTAGTATTATTTATTATATGTGTATTTATATTTGTTTTATTAAAAACAACCTTAGATTTACCCACCTGTCAGGTTTTGAACCATATGGGGCTTAGCATGTGTATTTGGAAATAACGTTATTACTGTTCATTTTTTCGTTTGCTGGAAATTAGAACTGAATTTAGAAAATAGTTTTGAAACAAATCTTTGCACTTAATAAACAAAATTAATTATGTGTAGGTTAATGGATGTCTGTGCATACAAAACGTTTCCCTATCCATGAAAGTGAAAGTGAAAGTAAAGAATGAGGAGGCTCATCTCTCATTCTCGCGCTGTAGATGGTCTTTTTAACTGTTTTTTTTTTTTTGTTTTGTTTTTTTGCTAGTAGAAGCGTTCAGTTTTCCACTTACAAAGTCTGCCAAGTAAATAGCAAATGCGCTATGGCGCGACGCAACTGACTCTTAAAGGGAATGCGAGATGAGACTCTGATTGGTTTATTCTCAAAACACACCTATAACTCATTAAGAAAATCAGCTCAACCCTGTTAGACCAAAGCGGATTTTTCCATCCTTAAAATAGCAAAAGTGGATTCTGACACACCCTTAATGCTTTTGCGCCATGGATCGTCAAAATAGAGCCCTTAGAGTTGGATTATGCAAAAAAAAAAAATAAACGCTATTTTGAAATTGTTTTCTATTGGAAAAAAAATATTTTCTAATCTGATTATTGTGAAATCATGCTTTCAGGTCAAGTGAAAAAAGTATACAGATTAAAGGACATGGAATGCCTCTCAGATGAACGGCTTCAATACCTTGTTATTCTTTTTACTCTTTTGTAAATATGTGATTGTGGTATTTGTTGTTAGATTTTCAATAAAAGCAAAAAACTATTTATTGGATCTTGTTTTATCTTTCTCATCTTAAGTTCCCAACACCATATGTGTTGCTATTTTAAGTAATTGTTTTGCACTTGAGACTAAAACTGCTATAATTATTTGTTTCATAAAACAACATAAAGTTTAAAGGATAATTGAAAAAAAAAAATCTTAATTTCTGAATGTAATAAGTAACACATTTTGTTAAATTCAATCCCTAATTTTATCCATATCTGCAAAGCTTGTTTATTGTGTTACTGAACACAGCATTGTCTAGCTCTGCATATTTGTAATGAACAAATAGCTAATGATGCAAATTATATTAAATCATACATTGCACAACAGGATAGTTATTATGAAATTATAAGATATTTTTCCTGTGCAGATGTGCTCAGCCTTGTTTCAGAGATGCAGGTGCTTTTCGGTTCTGCTTTTGGTGGCTATTTCTGCTTGACTGTTACTTAACGCTTCTATCTGTTATTTGCTTTGCTCTCTGAAGCATGCTTCTGGTTTCCTCTTCCACCCATCTTTGTTTTATTTCAGTAATCATTAAAAATAATAATAATGATAGAAAAACACTCCCACTGAACAATTAACAAAAGTTTGTGCAGCAATGCTTCTTTCAATGGCTATAAAAATGTTTTATTTCCTAATTTATTTTCCAAATTATAATTTACAAGTTAGTCATGTTCAAGTGCAGAGTTATTATAATAGTCATTTGTTGTCAAATGTTGGAAAAAGAGAAAAGCAGAATTGGGAAAGTAGTCTAAAAGGTGAATACATTGAATGGGGTTTAAAATACTTGAGTAATTTTAGCATTTATGCAATATTTAAGCTTGAGCAAAGTAAGTATTTAAGCACCTATTACTTCTGACATTTTTATTTAAACTCAACAGGCACTAGTCTCATTTTTATATTTTAATGTCCTCTGTGTTATGAACATTATATATGATGATGTGGAAGAACCAATACATTTAAGTTTCACAAATAATGCATACATTTCAGCTTTTTGACTTTCATCAGTCATAACTGGATATAATAGCTCATCATAAAATGAACACCAACATTTTTCTATTTTGTCTGGAATTCGGAATTAAAAATAAAGGTTTTCTAATGGCAGAGCTTTACACCGGAAATAAGTTCTTTAGATTATTAAAATGTTTTTATTTGAACTGATCTCTGAAAGGATTTTTAGGAAACTCAAAATAGTTATTTTACTGTGTGTTATCCCTGCAAAAAAATTTTTTATAGACCTTTTTTTATTTAAGAATGTTTCTCGCCCTGCATCATGTTTCTCTTTGAAATGATACACCTCCAAAATATAAAGTTTAGATAAAAAAACAACACACACAAACTGAACTGAACCGTAAAGTTAAATTATTAGTGTCTGTTGTGTTTTCTTTTCTTTCTTTTTATATTGACTTTGAATGTCCCACACAATTTAATTTGCTTTTTTTTTTTTTTTTTACATTTAGCATGATGTTGTTTGAACTTGATAAATATTTTTGAGCCAGGTCATTACATTGTTTTATTCCCCTCTTTAACTTGATTTTACTTTGCTTTGGAAGTCAATATTATATAAAGATTTAATTTTTAAAAACACTTTGTACTTTTAATATGTACTGTTGAAATAAACTGATATCTCATCTCTACTTTAATAATAACTTTAATAGTCACTAAGCCCAGAATAGCTCTGCTGAGTAGAGAGGATGGTGATAGAATCATGTTGGAGTGCCACTTGAAAGATTACTATCCAGAGGAATTTAGTGTACAATGGCTTTATAATGGTCAGCCTGTCAGCGGTACAAACAGAATGCTGCAGAACAAAGAAGTGGAGAAAACTTTTACCTACATAAGTCAACTGAATATTAGTTATTCACATGATTACAAGAATTACACTTGTTATGCCAACCACAACTCTAAGGTATACCAGCAAGACTATAACAGGTGCACTGGTAAGTTGAACGTAATGAAGAAAGTAAATAACCTAAAGTCAGGCTGATAGAGATGCCTGACCTAAATTAAATTAAATGTAAAGCTAATGTTGTATATGATTTGATCTCTACAGCAAAGCTTTTATTCAAATTTTCAATTCAAATAAAGACAAACCCTCTCAGAGACATTATAGAAACCGGCAATATCACATTGTCATGTGTTGTTAAAGCTCCAGAGTACACTGTAGTGTCATGGTCCGTAGATGGTAAAAATGAACCACCCACCACACCACACAAAGATCTCTCCAATAACACTGTGAGCTACTTGACTGTGAGCACAAAGGATGGTTGAAGAAAACTATTGTTTGTATTGCTCAACATCCTTGTTTCTCAAAAGATAGTGCTGAAATTCAAACATTTGTTAAACTGAATAAAAAACGATACTGATTCTGAAAAACACATACGTTATTAAAATGTACTTTTGCTCCACAGAAGACGTAAAGAAGGATCCTGAAGTGGAGATCAGGAGGTCTTTCATGAAATCATCAGCACCAGTAAGTGATGCTGTGCTGGAGTGTGTTGTGGGTGATCTTTCTCCTGGCGAGGTCTGCATCACTTTCCAGGCTAATAATGTTGATATCTCAGATCTCGATTGTGTGGATTCAGCCCCTTCTAATAACAGTTGGTCCTTGATTAGAAATTTTACAATACCCAGTTCAAATCAGACGACAGAAAATAACTTTACCTGTAAAGTTCATAGTGCCTTTAAAGAATGGACATCAAAACCTACTGGACACATTTTTGGTAGGGAATGAACATTTCAGTCACACAAACTATAAACATGAATTCATGAACCCTGTTAAATTTTAATGATGATGCAAGTTTTCCTCACCAGGCATCTGACACTTTCTTGTTCAACAGATAATGCTTCCTCGGAGCTTGTTGTTGGTCCTAAAGTGGTTCAGTCTAGTTCAGAGTACCAAAAGCTGCTGTGCTCTGCTACAGGGTTTTATCCCAAGATAGAGTGGCTTCCACAATCTAGTGTAAAAGCTAGCAACTCAACCATCACCCTGATGCAAGATGGCCACGTGAAAGTGTACAGTGAGATATTAGTGCCCCAGGATGAGTGGAATAAAGGAGTCAATTTCACCTGCCTAGTTACAGATGGGACCAATAAAGAAACTGTTGAGAAAAACACCAGTATTTGTTCAGGTAAACATGTCAAATATCATCTGGTTCCTAACAATCTATCTATTATTATATAGATTCAGATTAGAGAACCATTCTTGGTTTTTTCAAAAGTTGATTTTATTCATGAAATAATACACACTTTTTTAAATATAACATTAATAATATAATATTTTTGTTCTATGCTAGTAGAACTGACATATGCTGATTTTAGTCATGTTTTAGGATCAACATATTTGTGAATTCTAAAACCATTCTTGTATGAAAATTTTAAACCAACCCTAATTTCTACTCCTAAACCTAAATGCAAATTTTCAAATAAGAGGGAAATGATGAGCGAAATACAATGATGTAGAATCACATAACCTTGATTGTTAAACTAAATTTATCACAGACTTCTTCCTACAATAGGATGTATTGGGCATCTGTTCCAGGATCAAAACAAAGTCTTTTACAGACATCCTTAGTTTCTTAAAGGACTTAACTAGACTCTCACAAGACATCATCAGACTCTCACAGGACATCACTAGCTTCTCACAGACATCATTAGTCTCTTATAGGACATCTTGCACAGATATCACTAGTCAAGTAGGTCAAGTATTCTAGTTAAAGCTATTGACCATTAAGGTTCTCTGTGTTGTATTGACCACTCATGCCTCTGTCTTTCCTGAATGACCAAACTAATAAACCTGATGACTGATAATCATGCTTGACAATATAATTAGTAATGGCCATATCATTTAAGCTGGATGTTAAGCTATTTTTAACATCATCATTTGTATTATTTGTGCAGCACATTGTTTCATCAAACCTTCAATCCAAATAAAGACAAACCCTCTCAGAGACATTATAAAAACGGGCAATGTCACATTGTCATGTGTTGTTAAAGCTCCAGACATCACTATAGTGTCATGGTTGGTAGATGGTCAAAGTGAACCAACCACCACACCACACAAAGATCTCTCCAATAACACTGTGAGCTACTTGACTGTGAGCACAAAGGATTGGTTGAAGAAAACCATTGTTTGTATTGCTCAACATCCTTGTTTCTCAAACGAGAGTCGTGAAAATCAGGCTGGTAAGAGTTTTCTTCTTTAACATTTGTTAAACCGAATAAAAAACACAACTGATTCTGAAAAACACATACGTTATTAAAATGTACTTTTGCTCCACAGAAGACGTAAAGAAGGATCCTGAAGTGGAGATCAGGAGGTCTTTCATGAAATCATCAGCACCAGTAAGTGATGCTGTGCTGGAGTGTGTTGTGGGTGATCTTTCTCCTGGCGAGGTCTGCATCACTTTCCAGGCTAATAATGTTGATATCTCAGATCTCGATTGTGTGGATTCAGCCCCTTCTAATAACAGTTGGTCCTTGATTAGAAATTTTACAATACCCAGTTCAAATCAGACGACAGAAAATAACTTTACCTGTAAAGTTCATCGTGCCTTTAAAGAATGGACATCAAAACCTACTGGACACATTTTTGGTAGGGAATGAACATTTCAGTCACACAAACTATAAACATGAATTCATGAACCCTGTTAAATTTTAATGATGATGCAAGTTTTCCTCACTAGGCATCTGACACTTTCTTGTTCAACAGATAATGCTTCCTCAGAGCTTGTTGTTGGTCCTAAAGTGGTTCAGTCTAGTTCAGAGTACCAGAAGCTGCTGTGCTCTGCTACAGGGTTTTATCCCAAGATACAGTGGCTTCCACAATCTAGTGTAAAAGCTAGCAACTCAACCGTCACCCTGATGCAAGATGGCCACGTGAAAGTGTACAGTGAGATATTAGTGCCCCAGGATGAGTGGAATAAAGGAGTCAATTACACCTGCCTAGTTACAGATGGGACCAATAAAGAAACTGTTGAGAAAAACACCAGTATTTGTTCAGGTAAACATGTCAAATATCATCTGGTTCCTGACAATCTATCTATTATTATATAGATTCAGATTAGAGAACCATTCTTGGTTTTTTCAAAAGTTGATTTTATTCATGAAATAATACACTCTTATTTTAATACAACCTTAATAATGTAATATTTCTAAACTTTGCCAGTAGAACTGACATATGCTGATTAAAGTCATGTTTCAGGATCAACGTATTTGTTGATTCTAAAACCATTCTTGTATGAAAATGTAAACCAACCCTAATCTCTACCTCTACCCCTAAACGGAAATTATCAAATAAGAGAGAAATGGTGAGGGAATTACAATGATGTAGAATCACATAACCTTGATTGTTAAACTAAATTTATTACAGACTTCTTCCTACAATAGGATGTATTGGGCATCTGTTCCAGGATCAAAACAAAGTCTTTCACAGGCATCCTTAGTTTCTTAAAGGACTTAACTTGACTCTCACAAGACATCAACAGACTCTCTCAGGTCATCACTAGTTTCTCACAGACATCACTAGCCTCTCACAGGTCACCACTAGCTTCTCACAGACATCACTAGCCTCTCACAGGTCACCACTAGCTTCTCACAGACATCACTAGTCTCCCATAGGACATCTCTAGTCTCTCACCGATATCACTAGTCAAGTAGGTCAAGTATGTGTTGTATTGACCAATCATGCCTCTGTCTTACCTGGATGACCAAACTAATAAACCAGATGGCTGATAGTCATGCTTGACAATATAATTAGTAATGGCCATATCATTTAAGCTGGATGTTAAGCTATTTTTAACATTATCATTTGTATTATTTGTGCAGCACATTGTTTCATCAAACCTTCAATCCAAATAAAGACAAACCCTCTCAGAGACATTATAAAAACGGGCAATGTCACATTGTCATGTGTTGTTAAAGCTCCAGACATCACTATAGTGTCATGGTTGGTAGATGGTCAAAGTGAACCAACCACCACACCACACAAAGATCTCTCCAATAACACTGTGAGCTACTTGACTGTGAGCACAAAGGATTGGTTAAAGAAAACCATTGTTTGTTTTGCTCAACATCCTTGTTTCTCAAACGAGAGTCGTGAAAATCAGGCTGGTAAGAGTTTTCTTCTTTAACATTTGTTAAACCGAATAAAAAACACAACTGATTCTAAAAAAACACATACGTTATTAAAATGTACGTTTGCTCCACAGAAGACGTAAAGAAGGATCCTGAAGTGGAGATCAGGAGGTCTTTCATGAAATCATCAGCACCAGTAAGTGATGCTGTGCTGGAGTGTGTTGTGGGTGATCTTTCTCCTGGCGAGGTCTGCATCACTTTCCAGGCTAATAATGTTGATATCTCAGATCTCGATTGTGTGGATTCAGCCCCTTCTAATAACAGTTGGTCCTTGATTAGAAATTTTACAATACCCAGTTCAAATCAGACGACAGAAAATAACTTTACCTGTAAAGTTCATCGTGCCTTTAAAGAATGGACATCAAAACCTACTGGACACATTTTTGGTAGGGAATGAACATTTCAGTCACACAAACTATAAACATGAATTCATGAACCCTGTTAAATTTTAATGATGATGCAAGTTTTCCTCACTAGGCATCTGACACTTTCTTGTTCAACAGATAATGCTTCCTCAGAGCTTGTTGTTGGTCCTAAAGTGGTTCAGTCTAGTTCAGAGTACCAGAAGCTGCTGTGCTCTGCTACAGGGTTTTATCCCAAGATACAGTGGCTTCCACAATCTAGTGTAAAAGCTAGCAACTCAACCGTCACCCTGATGCAAGATGGCCACGTGAAAGTGTACAGTGAGATATTAGTGCCCCAGGATGAGTGGAATAAAGGAGTCAATTACACCTGCCTAGTTACAGATGGGACCAATAAAGAAACTGTTGAGAAAAACACCAGTATTTGTTCAGGTAAACATGTCAAATATCATCTGGTTCCTGACAATCTATCTATTATTATATAGATTCAGATTAGAGAACCATTCTTGGTTTTTTCAAAAGTTGATTTTATTCATGAAATAATACACTCTTATTTTAATACAACCTTAATAATGTAATATTTCTAAACTTTGCCAGTAGAACTGACATATGCTGATTAAAGTCATGTTTCAGGATCAACGTATTTGTTGATTCTAAAACCATTCTTGTATGAAAATGTAAACCAACCCTAATCTCTACCTCTACCCCTAAACGGAAATTATCAAATAAGAGAGAAATGGTGAGGGAATTACAATGATGTAGAATCACATAACCTTGATTGTTAAACTAAATTTATTACAGACTTCTTCCTACAATAGGATGTATTGGGCATCTGTTCCAGGATCAAAACAAAGTCTTTCACAGGCATCCTTAGTTTCTTAAAGGACTTAACTTGACTCTCACAAGACATCATCAGACTCTCTCAGGTCATCACTAGTTTCTCACAGACATCACTAGCCTCTCACAGGTCACCACTAGCTTCTAACAGACATCACTAGTCTCCCATAGGACATCTCTAGTCTCTCACCGATATCACTAGTCAAGTAGGTCAAGTATTCTAGTTAAAGCTATTGACCATTAAGGTTCTCTGTGTTGTATTGACGAATCATGCCTCTGTCTTACCTGGATGACCAAACTAATAAACCAGATGGCTGATAGTCATGCTTGACAATATAATTAGTAATGGCCATATCATTTAAGCTGGATGTTAAGCTATTTTTAACATCATCATTTGTATTATTTGTGCAGCACATTGTTTGATCAAACCTTCAATCCAAATAAAGACAAACCCTCTCAAAGACATTATAAAAACGGGCAATGTCACATTGTCATGTGTTGTTAAAGCTCCAGAGTACACTGTAGTGTCATGGTTGGTAGATGGTCAAAGTGAACCAACCACCACACCACACAAAGATCTCTCCAATAACACTGTGAGCTACTTGACTGTGAGCACAAAGGATTGGTTAAAGAAAACCATTGTTTGTTTTGCTCAACATCCTTGTTTCTCAAACGAGAGTCATGAAAATCAGGCTGGTAAGAGTTTTCTTCTTTAACATTTGTTAAACTGGATAAAAAACGATACTGATTCTGAAAAACACATACGTTATTAAAATGTACTTTTGCTCCACAGAAAACGTAAAGAAGGATCCTGAAGTGGAGATCAGGAGGTCTTTCATGAAATCATCAGCACCAGTAGGTGGTGCTGTGCTGGAGTGTGTTGTGGGTGATCTTTCTCCTGGTGAGGTCTGCATCACTTTCCAGGCTAATAATGTTGATATCTCAGATCTCGATTGTGTGGATTCAGCCCCTTCTAATAACAGTTGGTCCTTGATTAGAAATTTTACAATACCCAGTTCAAATCAGACGACAGAAAATAACTTTACCTGTAAAGTTCATAGTGCCTTTAAAGAATGGACATCAAAACCTACTGGACACATTTTTGGTAGGGAATGAACATTTCAGTCACACAAACTATAAACATGAATTCATGAACCCTGTTAAATTTTAATGATGATGCAAGTTTTCCTCACTAGGCATCTGACACTTTCTTGTTCAACAGATAATGCTTCCTCAGAGCTTGTTGTTGGTCCTAAAGTGGTTCAGTCTAGTTCAGAGTACCAGAAGCTGCTGTGCTCTGCTACAGGGTTTTATCCCAAGATACAGTGGCTTCCACAATCTAGTGTAAAAGCTAGCAACTCAACCGTCACCCTGATGCAAGATGGCCACGTGAAAGTGTACAGTGAGATATTAGTGCCCCAGGATGAGTGGAATAAAGGAGTCAATTACACCTGCCTAGTTACAGATGGGACCAATAGAGAACCTGTTGAGAAAAACACCAGTATTTGTTCAGGTAAACATGTCAAATGCAACAAGAAAAAGAAATAACATATGTAAAACCCTTCTTCCTGTACACGTGATTGAATGTAACATCAGAACAAATGCTTTTACTTTGCCACAGTCATTGCACCATCCAGTCAGCAGGCAGACGTCTTCTTGCTGGGTCCTCCCCTCAGTTTTGCAAGCTCTGACTTAAATTTGACCTGTATAGTTATTGGTCAGAATGTTGAGTATTTCATCTTTCAGTGGAAAGTGAATGGAAATAATAGTGATGGTATTGATCAAGCTCCAGTACAGCATCTTAACGGGACTCAAAGCAAAGTAAATCTATTGAAAGTTTCAGTTAATACATGGAATTCACATGCCCTCATCACCTGCGAGGTCAAGCATTTGTGCTCCGTAGACACACAAAAGCAGAGAATCTTAAAAACCAGAGGTGAGCATTCACACCATCCTCTGTGCTGCCAGTGAAGAGTCTGGCATTTACTAATTGTCACTTTATGTTCATAGACCCAAAACAGCCCACTGTGAGAATCCTCAGACCCTCAGACAGTGATCTCTCTGGAGGCAAAATTTCCAGCCTTGTTTGCTTTATCAGTGATTTCTTCCCTTCTGATATCTTAGTAGAGTGGAAGCTAAATGGAAAGCAGCTTAGCAGGTCTCAGTTTTCTAACAGCCCTCTGGTTGCACTCTCTTCAGGAGGTTTTTCAATGCATAGTGCTCTAATTTTACCTGGAGAGCAGCAAAAGGATGGCATCTACTCTTGTGAAGTTTCTCATGAGTCTTCCCAAAAACCAATCAATGCCACTTTGGAGAACTTGTATGGTGGGTACAAGAGATTTTCTACCTGTCAGTACCCGTGTTTCAATTGCAGATTAAAAAATCTTTTTTGATATGTTTTAATGGTGATTTGCAAAATGACAGTGTTTTCAATAACCAATGTTATGTGACTGAAACAGTTTTTTCCTCTCGTGAAAAGTCCTCCCAAAAAAGAAGTCGCCAAATTAGCCACATTTTTCAGTCAGAGTAGGTGTGATATCCAAGTGTTAATTAAAAGAAAAGTGCCTTATACTCTAGAATGCCTCATAAGTATTTCTGGAGGTTTGCAGAGGAACTGTTGATTCAAACGATTTAGGTTCCCCTTTATATATGTGTGTCTGTATATGAACAGACTTTGGGAGTGCGTCAGACGACCAATCAGCTGAAACTGATGAGCTCATTAAGGCTATATCAGTCGGCTGTTGGAGTCAGCTACTCAGAATTGTTGCTTCAGACCCGATTACGAGACTTATGACACGCTTTCTGCCAACCTGATTTCAAGTTTACTCACCAGTGCGGAGGAAGACGCAACAGCTGTGATCGATCTGGGATTTCCTGTGCATTTCTGGATGCGGTGGTTTCTATATCCGGATGATGGGCACGGATATTGCATGACAGGTCTGGGGGTCCAGCATGTCGGTGCGGTGCCCGCGAACAGCTCATGCTATCACTGTGAGGGCGTGGCTGTTGCACAGCTGAGATTGCAGCTTCAGCCACCCCCATTGCTCCCTGTGAAAACGGTTAGCATGTAGGCAGATCTGAGGATCACAGTGGGAGTTTATCCGCTGCCTCCGGGCCTGCAGACCACCCACTCCTCCACAGTGTGTCCCATCCAAGCTTTGGGTAGTTGTGCAGTCAATCCCTCGGGATGCTCGTGTCTCCTCTTGATGACACAGGAGAACAAGGGTCCATCACGACATCGGAGGGCGAGCTGTTATGCTCAGATGAGAGACCATGCTTACTTCTATTCTACGAGGTGCAATGACCAACTAGAGGGTGTGAGGTGCGGGCTGATGTAAGATGAATCTTTCAGCCCCCATCCTCTGCTACCCAGGAGCGCACAGCGAGCACACGCTGTCACAGAGGGCATTTTTTTTCGCCCAGTCCATGTTGATGTCTAGGCGGCCAGTGGGTACGAAGCTATTTCCTCAGGTGGTGGGGGCCGCTACCTGTAGGGGTAAACTGAGACCCCTGTCTAAGGTGGGTGGGTTATTTCTGCCTCTCATGGCCAGAGTCCACACCGCTGTGGGCCAACACCGCTTCTGCCCTGCACCACGACCTTCTGGCTGTGCTGCACAGGAGCGGTTCTTCCCCAGGCTTATGCATAAGCTTCGCACGGCAATCGACAATGCTTTCATGACCTTAAAGTCGGCTGCAAATGCCCTGGGGAGGACGATGGCCACATATCCTACTTAAAAAAAAACAGCTTAACCCAGCCTAGGCTGATTAGCTGGTTTTAGCTGGTCAACCAGGCTGATTTTAAAGAAGCCATTTCCAGGCTGGTTTCCAGCCATTTCCACTCTGGTCTTAGCTGGTCAGGCTGGAAGGTGAGCTTAACCAGCTTAACCAGCCTGGTTTAACCTAATAACCGTATATAACCTAAGGTGCAACCTTATTTTCACCTCTTCCTCGGGACGCTCTGCTTCCCGGGGTGAGCACTTCCCATCCCGAAGCTGCCCCTCCTCGGATACGTCCAGTGATGCTGCTCATTCAGACTCTGTCAGCCTTGTTAGCACTGCTCAACTCGTTATAGTAGTTCACGCGGGCAGTCAGACTCAGCTATGCGTTTCAATTCGCTGTTAGCCTCCCAAGTTCATGGCTGTGTATTTAAGCGATTATTCGCTATGCCACCCCCTGTCTTGCATGAGAAGATTGTTTTCCTCCTGACGAAGGATACAATCAAGCCAGTCCTCCAGCCGAGATGAAGAAAATTCATTGACTTTTAATACTTTTTAGGTCTCTGATCTGATCAATTATGCACAGGGACCTGGTGCTTCAGCACCTCTACCCATTCGGGTTCGGGTCAATCAAGTATGAGCAAGTTCTCCCCCGGGTAGAGCTTCTCTCATCTCGGGTTAGAGCTGGACTGCATCATGGTAAGCTTTTAGCAAGCCTGTCCGATTAATTTGGCAGTTATAGTGATCTCACTGAAATTATTCAGAGGCTTCACTTATCCAGCATATGTTTTACGCAGCAGATGCCCTTCCAGCTGCAACCCATTATGGGAAACACCAATTGAAATACATTCTTACATTCACACACATACACTATGGACAATTAAGTTTATTCAATTCACCTATACCACATGTCTTTGGACTTGTGGGTGAAACCAGAACACCCGGAAGAAACTCACATAAGCACAGGGAGAACATGCCATCTCCACACAGAAATGCCAACTGACCCAGTCGGGGCTCAAACCAGCAATCTTCTTGCTTTGAGGCGAACATGCTACCCACTGCGCCACAGTGACGCTATGTCACATAAATATATGTCCATATTCCAGGATGGTGATGCAGAAATTCATCAGTCTTCGATTGTAAATGAAAGCTTTATTTCCATACAAAAATTGACAACCAGTTGACCAGAAACCACCTGAATAGCTTCAAGTAGTACAGGGGTATTTACAACATTTTTAGATAGTGACCTTCATTGTTTAATATGATGCATTTGCCAAGGTATTGCTTTGACTGGCTTATTACAGGTTTGCTTTTTTGTGCTCTGCTTTGCATTCCATACATAGACAGTTCAAAGTTTAATTAAGTTTCAGTTGTACATTTAAGTGAATTATAACTGAAGTTAATTTCTTATCATTATTGCTTGAAGCTCATAGTACTTATATACTTTAGGCAGTCAGATAGTTTGGGGTGGGATTTACAATATGTAGTTACCAGTTAGGCTAATAATTTTGACCTTAAAATAATAATAAAAGAATTAAACTGCTTTTATTTTAGCCAAAATAAAACAAATGAGACTTTCTCCAGAAGAAAAAAATATTATCAGACATACTGTGAATTTTCCTTGCTCTGTTAAACATCATTTGGGAAATATTTTTAAAAAGGAAACAAAATTCAAAGGGTGGCTAATAATTCTGACTTCAACTTTATATATAAAGCATGATGTATTTCATTCTATTTTTTGTTTGTTTTGCAGCATCCTTGCACCATTCTGCTCCATCTGCAGAGCTGCTACAGGGTGCTGATGGGCTAATGTGTCTGGTGTCGGGTTTTAGTCCATCTTCCATCAATATAACTTGGTTTATGGGAATGACTGAAATGTCTGAGCAGAACAAGACCAAACTTGCAAAATACCCTGATGGAAAATTTCTAATCCAAAGTCACCTGCCTCTCAAGCCTTCAGATTGGGCTCCTGGTGAGGTGTACACATGCAGGGTCACTCATGTTACTGGCACTCAGTGGTTTAACATCTCGAAAAATTCAGGTAATCAAAATTTCATGTGATAAAACCTCTTTTTCTAAGGGAATAATAAGTAATATTTAAATGTGAACTTTTTTTCCACAGTAATTTCCGAAGAGGCTATATTTATGAATGAAATTAAACCTGAATTTATTCCTCAAGATACCGTTGGAGAGGTCTGGAATATGGCTTGTGCCTTTCTCATCCTTTTCCTTCTCGCTCTTGTCTATGGATGCACAGTCACTTTGGTCAAAGTGAAGTCTGAATGAGCAACATTTTATGTGTGTATGTGTATATGTGTGTGTTTCCTGAATACACTTTAAAACTTTTTTTCTTTTGAAAATATGGTAAAAATGTCTTACTAGTTATTAATTAAATATTTTATACTAACATGGACTAACAATGTATTCGTATAACAGGGAATTTCTAATGTTTTTGTCTGGAATTTTTCTCCTATTCAAAGAGGCTATTTATTATAAATTATATTATTATGAATATATATTGCACAAGATAAAGTTGGAGAGGTCTGGAATATGTGTCCTGATCATTCTACAAACTGAAGCCAAATTTTTATGTGTGTGTTTTAAATTATTTTGCTTTTTGTTCAACATTTGATAGCTTCGCAAATGTTAAATGGTAAGTATTAATTTTTGATCTTTTGATCTTGTGAACATTTATTCTCTCTCTCTCTCTCTCTCTCTCTCTCTCTCTCTCTCTCTCTCTCTCTCTCTCTCTATATATATATATATATATATATATATATATAAATCTGTTCTAACACTTTGTACTGTTTAACAATATACTATACTAACAATGTCTAACTGTGTATACATATTTGTTTATTTTTCCAGAAAGATTCTCATATGTTTAGGATCATTCTGTAACCATTCTATCATGAAATGTGTCATTCTGATAACTCTGTGTTGACATTAGAAATAAAAATACCAGAATGGTGTTGACTAATTTACAGCCATAATTTTAGATCATATCCTAAATGTTGTTTATGTCTTGCACAAGGGGATCACCTCAGCCGTGGTATTGAGGTGGATATTTATTCACTCTCCCCACCAGCAATCCCTGCTGCAACTCTTGGATACTATGTCTAACTCTCTAATTATTAGGCCACGGCTGCCCACCTAGGGCTTTTGATTGCACACTTTAGTTTAGACTGTCATTTTTTAAGAAAGACTTTTGAGTATATAATGGATTTTTATCATTTTCATTTGGTATGTGCACAGAACAAAATAGGAAAGAACAGCTGAACAAACAAGTAAAAAAAATCACTCTTTCAACTAAATAAAATGGCCATAAGCCTAGTTTATTTATTGCAAAAAGCTGGTAATAGTAAAAAAATAATATGTTGGTCAAACATACATATAAACATATAGACAGCTGGCAGCTAGGTCTCTGCAACTCTAACATGGTCACCAATTGAAGCTAAGCAGAGCTGTGCCTGGTCAGTAGCCGGATGGGAGACCACATGGAAAAACTACTGTAGGTTGCTGCTGGAAGTGGTGTTAGTGAGGCCAGCAGGGGGTGCTCAACCTGCGTTCTGTGTGCATCCTAAAGCCCTAGTATGTTGAATGTAACTCTATACTGCTCATTGAGTGTCTTATGGATGAAATGGTAAACCGAGGTCCTGACTCTCTATAGTTGGTAAAAATGCCAAAAAGTTCTTAGAAAAAGAGTAGGAGTTTAACCCCGGCATCCTGGCCAAATTTGCCCACTGGCTTCTGTCCATTTTGGCCTCCTAACCATCCCCATATTAGAGTTGATTTCCTCACCCTGTTTCCTCTCCACCAATCAGCGGGTGTGGTGTGCGGTCTGGCGCAAAATGGCTCCCATCGAATCATCCAGGTAGATGCTGCACACCAGTGAGATTCCTCTTCAAAAATGTGTAAAGCACTTTGAGTGTCTAGAAAAGCACTATATTATTGTAAGAAATTATTTGTGACTACTGTATTTAGATTTAGATCAATAATAAAGAAAAGATGAGACATCTTGGAATGGACCCTTTTCTTAAGGCCGTTATGACGCATATAACAATCATACTTAATTACTCCCAGTGCTGTTTATATCAAAGCTGATATTTAGCCACACCATATTGTGTTTCGTAACATCTTATTTTTAAAAGGGGGTCATTAGCCCAACGCTCAACCCCCAACCTGGAGGACCAGGATATACACATACGCTACAGACAATTTACCCAAGCTTACCTTTATTCACTTACTGCAATAGCTTTAGCTTATCCAATTCACCTACCATATGTTTTTTGACTGTGGGGGAAACCCCATCTAACAAAAACTCTTAACAGTGATGTCATTGAGACCTCTGTAGTCAATGCAAGGGCACCTTCTGTTTAACAAAGAAGAACCCAGCCCCAGCTGGGGAGAAAGAAGGACGAATGAGATCGGCTTTTATTGACTCTTGAATGTACCTGTCCTTGGCCTCTCTTTCAGGACGTGAATGGGAATACAACCGACCCCTGGGCGGAGAAGAGCCTGGGAGGAGCTCAATGGCACAGTCATATGGTCGGTGCGGAGGTAAGGAAGTAGCCCAGGACTTGCTGAAGACCTGACGCAGATCGTGGTATTCCGACAGGACTCCGGAGATATCTACAGCTTCGACCTGCAACACATGAGAAATAGTACCAGAACACAGGAAAGGACCAAGACATAAAGCAAGACAAGACAAACTCCAAGATAACACAGAACTAGTTGACCAATCAACAGAGGATTGTGTTTGGTTAGCCATGGGTGCCCCAATACTACAGGAGCACTCGGAGAGTCAATTAAATATAAATTAATATCCTCACGGTGATTGCCAGAAATAATTAAACTTACAGAAGGAGTAGAATGGGTGATGGAGGTGATGGTAAGACCATTCAGGGAGCGGACAGTGATAGGAGAGGAATGAGGGATAGCAGGAATGCCCCAGGACTCAGCGGTGGTGCTGTCTAAAAAGTTGCCCTCGGCTCTGGAGTCGATCAGGGCAGAGCACGAATGGACGACATCTCCACATTGTAGAGAGGCTGGCAGTCAGGTACGATATGTGTGGGTGTCAGAGCAAGGGATTGTGCCCACCAGAATCCCCCGTACTACTGGTGAGCTGGGGCTTTTAACTGGTGAGGCACTGGACAGCCTGATGACCCGGTTTCCCACAGTACAGGCACAAGCCCCTAGCCAACCGATAATCATTTCTCCTGTGTGGTTAGTCGCAGATGCCCCAACTGCATCGGCTCCTGATCAGGAATGGGTAGAGGAGTGTGGAGCAAGCTTGAAAAACCCTCTTCAGCGCTCCAGGAGGAACGGGTCGCCCGCTGATGTTGACGGCGAAGGAGGCGGCCCTCAACACAAAGAGCAAGATCAACCAGGGCGTCGAAGTCATGTGGGCGATCGTGGGTGGCGATTTTGTCCTGGATCTCATCATCCAGACCGTCCCAAAACCTCACTCGAAGAGCTGCTTCATTCCAAGCGCAGGCCGCTGCAAGGGTCCTGAATGGAATGGAGTAGTCAGTCACTGGACACCCGTTCTGGCTTAGCTGGGCCAAAAGAGAAGCTGCCTCATCCCCCTGAGCTGACCGATCAAACAGCTTGGTCATTTCATCCCGGAAGTCATCAAAAATGGCACAAAAGGGGGCCTGTGTATACCACACAGCGATGGCCCAGTCTCGAGCCCTGCCCTTAAGAAGTGTAATCACAAATGCCACTCTGGACTCCTCAGTGGCGTAACGGCATGGCTAAAGAGCAAAGACCAGCGAACACTAAGACAAGAAAGACCAACAGGAGCTGTGGTCCCCGTCATATGGTGGTGGACAATTAGAGTGCGGCTCATGATCCGGGTGGAGAGGAAAGGCTGCCTGCCTACCAGCTCTGATATTTAGCTGTCCTGGACTAGAGCATTGAGTTCCGCAACCCGAGCCGTCAGAAACTCAACTTCTTGTGAAGTGGCAGTTAATTGAGTTAATTGAGAACCACAGATTCAATATGCAGGTATTTAATGTAACTTCAAAAAACCAAAAACGCCTCAGACAGAGGATCAAAAATATAAAAGAAAAAGCACTGAATCAAAAAGGTAATTTATGCAGCAGTAACTAATATTGGACTGCAGTTCAATATAATGCCCAAAAGGTGGCGAACTCATGGAAATGGAGAGTCTCCAGGCTTCATGTGCAGAGCAGCAGGAAGCCGAGTAGATGCCGGTGGGCGGATGTCGGCAGGCAGTGGAGTCCGAGTGCCACAAACAATGACACCAATAGGAGTGAGCTAGCAAAACACACAAGACGGTCTGACAAAGACAAGGAGGCAAGCGGGAATTAAATAGAGAAGAAAATCAAGGAGCTGCAGGTGACAATCATTGCTAAATAAGGAAATAACTAGGATAACAAGGAGGCGAGGAAAAGGATACGCTGACAGCGGAGCACATGGTGAACTGTCAAAACAAAGAGCATGTAAATGCTTCATGTGCATCCTTGAGGAAACATGAAGGCGACATGCAAGACAACAAATCACAAACAGGTAGGTCTAGACACACTCTTCACGGTTACGGGCCCATTGTACAGCCAGTTATAGTGTGCATCCAGAGACCTTGCATCAATCAATCAATCAATCAATCAATCAATCAATCAATCAATCAATCAATCAAAATTTCCTTGAATTTAATTGAATTATCCACTCCTGGAATATATCTGGCTGTCTGTTCACCCCAGGTAAAAGCCTATAGTTAGGATCAGGGTGTGTCCTGTAAGGTAGTGGTGGGTGGGACACAGGGCACATCCTAAGTTGCCAAAAACATTGCGAAATATTTTAAAAGTGATTTTGTTTTACTATGAAATAAATTAAAACACGTGGCTGATTGGCCTTTATGTCTATTCGGTTCCTAGCTCGGGTAAAACACTCTGGGTGGAACTGACCAGTTACGGGCCCATTGCACAGTCTCTTATAGTGTGCATCCAGAGACCTTGCATCAATCAATCAATCAATCAATCAATCAATCAAATCCCTTGAATTTAAATGAATTATCTACTTTTTGAATATATAGGACCGGCTGTCTGTTCACCCCAGGTAAAAGCCTATAGTTAGGATTAGGATGTGTCCTGTAAGGTAGTGGTGGGTGGGACACAGGGCACATTCTAAGTTGCCAAAAAAATGCAAAATAGTTTTAAAGTGCTTTTGCTTAACTATGAAATAAATTAAAACACGTGGCTGATGGGCCTTTGTGTCTATTCGCTTCCTAGCTTGGGTGAAACACTCTGGGTGTAACTGTCCAGTTACAGGCACTATAACAGTCTGTTATAGTGTGTCTCCGGTATCGCCTCATTACAGCTAACGTGATCCCGCCTCTCATTGAGCGCGGTGTTTATATGGAGATGAACTGAGGTGAGCCAGGTAATATTTTACACACCCCCCAAGACATAGCATCAAACGACAAGCTTCATCATAGAGTTACTTACTTTTTCTGCGCTTTTGAGCGATGGCACGCTACACAAGTGAAGAAGCACTTCGGATGGTACTAGACAGCACCGAAGAATTTATGTTCTCCTCAGAAGAAGAGCATGACTCTGACGAACGCATACATTTTGAAGAACGTATAGACCCAGCGGAGGATAGAATCCCTGTGGAGAAAGTCTTTTATTCTTACCTTCATGATTTAAATGAAACATGTCTTTACAGGCTACTTATAATTTTATTGCTGTACAAATTGTATCCTATAACATATATAGCGTATAATGATAAACATAGGCCTATGTGATAAAATGTTATGTCATATGAAATATGCTAAGCTTGTAAAAAAAATACTGACAGTTATTTACAAAACAGGTGCTGTTCAGTTGATCATTCATATGTGGTTACTTGAGTTTATTAGGTAAATTAGTACTAGTATCAGTGAACATCACAAAGATGTTAAAAATGCAGTTTATGTGATCAGCTTGCTTATTTTTTTCCAGATGTGAAAACAACAGCGGTAAAGGACCAGTAGCGAAGAAAGCTAAAGCAAATAAGCTGCCTACTCAGTCTTGGAAAACAGAGACTGATGCTGCATGGCTCTCTGAGATTCCTTCCTGTACATGATCCTGAACCACACCTAAGATGCATACACAGGGCTTTTACAAACCTTACACCCTTTATTATCTTACACTTCATATTTACATTGTTGATTTTGCCCTAAATGTGTATTCTGTACACAATGTTTCATCTGTAAATTCAAGGGCATGCCTTAAGTTATATATAAAGTGTATATAAGTAACTTTTTCAGTAAATTTGCTAAAAAGAGATAAAAGACGGTTGTAAACACTAGCGCTGTCTATAACAACAGGCTACCGCAGAAATTCCATTATAAATACTGAGGTAAAAATAAATGGTCATATTTTAAAGACATGGTGGGTGGTAATGGAATTTAATGCAGTGTTTCTTGTCCGGTCTGAGACCCACTTCGTGTGGTTTATTCATAAACTAATTTCGAGAGGATCACGTGCTTATAATCAACACGGCTGGCTCCTTGTTAGCTCCGTAATCAGCCCTATTAGATGATTACAGAAGCATTATAAATAACCTGAGTTTTCCACTCCAGTTATCTTCGTCTTGAAGCTCCCCCCTTTCCACCCCTACATCCTCCCACTTTTTCTGATCGGGCGACACGGTGGCCCAGTGGCTAGCACTGTTGCCTCACAGCAAGAACACCGCCAGTCCAACCCATCGGGCCGGTTGGTGTTGCTGTGTGGAGTTTGCATGTTCTCCCCGTGTTCGTGTGGGTTTTCCCCGGGTTCCCCGGTTTCCTCCCACCGTCCAAAAACATAAACCATAGCCAATCGACTAAAACAAATTATCACCCATTACAACCTGAGTTTACACTTCTCACGGTGACAAGCAGGGGAGTTCTCGAGACCTACCTGACCTCGAATTCCCCTCTCGCCCTTCTAACGGGCGAACTCCTGCACCTCCTCCCCTCGCACCTCTGGACTCTGACACACACACACACACACTCACTCACACACACACACACACACACACACACACACACACACACACACACACACACACACACACACACACACACACACTCATCTGCACTGGTCACTTTATGCAGACACACTATACTACCTCCCAATATGTCACTGTCACTTTATCACAATTATCATGTTTACAAGTTCTTTTTGCACTATACTGTTTTTTTTATCTGCACAACTCTGGTTTACTCTGCACTCATTGCTATATGCCCTTAATGTCACTGTATTGTTTACAATTTTTATTACATATGTATATATATATATTTTTAGACCACATTTATGTGCAATGTATATACTGTAAATTTTCTTTCTTTTTTTTTCTTAAACTCTACTATTTTTTATATATATATATATTTTATATTAATGTTAAGCACCTTGGGTCTGAGAGTAACGCAATTTCGATTCTCTGTATGTCCTGTACATGTGGCTGAATTGACAATAAAGCTGACTTTGACTTTGAACTGTAACATTAAGTGTGAACTCTTGAAATACTGTTTATCTATCAGGCCTTGAAGATTGCTGATTTTTAAAGAAATCAGATCTCGAACATGACAAATTTGTAATGGAAATTGCCCCTTGGGCTGCCTGGCTGAAAATTAAATTGTGCATATAGCCCATTCATTACACTCCATTCCAGGTGTATATATACAGTATATATGCTTACAAGTGCATTTCGGTCACCTGGAATAGTGGGATAAATGCTTATCCTTATCCTATTATAGCTTACCTATAATATACTTTATATTGTTCTGAACAATGCCATGTCCTTAACATATTAGTCATTTATTTAATAGGCCTACAGTTAACACAATTCCCTGATTCACGTTTTCCATAATACATAATATTGAGGTATCTGGTTATGTGCTGTGTGACCAAGTCTAGATATTATTGTTTTCTCTTTTCTTTCCCCCAACTTTTTCCTTCCATTTGCCACTTGCTTTTTCTATGTTGGTCTATTTGTCTCTGCCTCATTCCGTCTCTTTTGACATTTTTAATCATAGTACTTAAACTTATTGTCTTGAATAGCTTAATCATGTCTATTGATATGCATATATTAATGCAACCTAAATATTAATGCTATTAAATAATTATTTAAGTATTATTAGACTGTAATATAATAACACTCAAAAAATTGACGGTAAATGCACTGTATGAAGTTAAATGTAGTCGTTTTTGACTGCCCGGCCTCAGTGCAGTGTCTTCTTCCGTACAGCTGGTGGCGGTAAGTCTCTGTAAAGTTGAAGAAAAGCGTATAGAAGAAGAAGATTCGTCGTTAGCGTGAGCTGCTTGTATCTTCTTGAAACTTTGGCTGCAGCTGCGTCCCAAATGGCACACTATACACTATGCACTCATGCACTATGTACTTATGCGCTTACACACTCAACAGGATAGTATATGTATGTAGTGTCATCCCAAATGGCTCACTAATGTGTTTTTACTAAGCGGAAATTCAAACCGTTTCCCTGATGACGTTTAACGGTTGCCAAATCAGTGAAATAAACGATCGAATTATCAGATAATACCTGCCGTGAGTATTGCCGCATTTACCATCGGGAGTCGCTAAAATCACTCTCGTAGGAGAATTTTGCTTTCACCATCCAAAATAAATAAAGTTATTCAACATGTGCGTCTGATAGCTCCGCCCCTTCCGCTACGTAAGCAAACCTGCGGTCGCTGAGTGCGTGAAGTGTCCATCATTACACACTTCATTTTAGTGGCTGAATGAGTGCATCATCCGGGTAATTAAAGTGCACTTATTATTTTTAGAGTTTTCAGTGTGAACACACTACTTACACTATTTATACTACAAAATGGCGTACAATAGTGCATAAGTATGCGATTTGGGACGCAGCTTGTGTTTCCTTTTAATTAGTACACAAGAAAGCGTATATCAGCGAGTTTAAGCATTGTGAAATGAAGTAGAAACGCGGATTTCGCCTAACACAGATCAACCTTGCCATAACACAGCTAACGTTAAATATTTACGGTGAGTTTAACTCTTGTTTCTGCCCTCGGGTAACGTTATGCTGCAGATGCTAACGGAGTTAACGTTAATTTGTCTTTTTAGAGCATGTCCTGTGTGTTCCGTTGTCTAACGTGTTTACTTATTAAAAGTCTCTATATACCACTACGCGAAGAAACCAGACTGTAATTTAATATTTTCATTTTATTACAGGTTTACTTGCTTTTTGTGCACTATGCAGTTTATTATTAGCCTTAAACATATATTAGTGCAGTGTTTCTCAACCACATTTCTAGAAGACCACCAACACTGCATGTTTTGGATGTCTCCTTTGTCTGTCACCCCCATTACAGGTCATTTAATCTCTGCTGATCAGGTCTAATCTAATCTAATCTAATGAGCTGATGGTCTGAATCAGGTGTGTTTGGTTAAGGAGACAGGGAAAATGTACAGGGCTGGTGGTCCTCCAGGAATGTGGTTGAGAAACACTTTATTAGTGTATCCTGAAGAGTAATACAATACACAGGGATGGGCAGTATTTATGATGCATGCATTTCAAATAATATTTTGGAATACAAAATAGTATTGTGCAATTTGTGTTTGATAATGTTTATGAAAATGGCTTAATATTTTGTATCAAAATATGCAGTCATGTATTTTTGTATTTTTTAAAATGCTGTAAAATACTTTGTTAGATGTCTACATGATGACATCATAAAAATGTGGCCTAAAATAGTGGTGTTTTCTCAGTTATTTGCAAGACTTGAGATCAGACTAGAAAATTTATTATTATTGAAGAAGTTGATCAATGCTTGGAGTAAGGATGGAAATTATGCATTACATATAAAGTAACAGATAAATAGTAGGGGTAGATTCTGGAGCAAGTCTTTTACATATCGTGTTTTCTATTGTGTATTGAAGACTAATATTGCAAAAAAAAAATCTAATAAACATGGTTTATAAAAATTACTAAAACTGGAGATTTTAGTTGTTATAAGAAATCTTGATTTTAGACTAAGTATTGAAGATTCAACTGCAAAAATGTATATATATATATATATATATATATATATATATATATATATATATATATATATATATATATTTTATTATATTTTTTACCAATTATGTAAACAAATGTTGTAAATAACTTTTTTTATATATCACCCTTTTAAACTATCAGACTCTTAAGAGATTGTGTCAATTTTCGCAATAGTTAAAGATATAGAGACATTCTAATCCATTATCTGCAATAAAGGGTTTTACAGTAATTAAAGAGATCATTCTCAAGATAAAATTCTGTATGAAATTTGTATAAAATCTGTACTAAAATCAAAAAGAAACTCAAGTAAATTTTATTTTGAATACCTCATGTACAGTAGAGGTTAGTGGGGTGCAGAGAAGAGATTGGTTGAACAGGCGTGTTTGATGGAAGGTTTGGGAAGGAATGTCATGCTCTTTTGTAAAAGTATTTTGTAGTATTTTCAAAATACAGTATTTTATTTTGATACATTTTGTGGATCCTGTATTTTGTAGTTTATTGAGATGCATGTTAAACTGAATTGTATTAAATTATTATTATTAAATTATTAATTGTATTTTATTTTAAAATACATTTCATTGTATTTTAACCCTGACAATACACAATTTGGAATAAGAAATTGATATTCACTGAAACAATGTGTTTTATATCACCACGAGCAGCTCAAAATACTGTGAATAATTATTTATTATTTGAAATTATTTAAATTATTTGGATGTTCAGAAGCCATTTGTGAATATTTTGTTTGCAATTATGAGTCTGTCCCATCCAATGTTTTAAGACTTGGTGTGCTGTTTATTTAAATTAAACTAAACCAACAATGAAAACTAATTGTAAATCATATATTCATTTTGTGTCAAGTTATTTTATTAGCTCTTTATAATTAAAAAAAAAAACTAACAGTTTATATAACGGAGCTAATACATAATACAGTTTAGTTGTTGTGTTGTTTTAACTAATATTAATATAGTATCAATAACAAATCTAGCCATTTCACACTGTTAATGCAAAAACTACCATTTGCTAATGAGCCTCAAGTGTCACCATACTTTATAAACCTTTTACAAAGCCATTTACATTTACAGTACACATTATTGTCAGGATAAAACTTTATAAAAGATTTTATTAGGCCTACTGATATATATTTTTTACTATTTATAATTACTTTCTATTATTTGCTTAAGAAAATATATTGAAGCCTTCAGTCAAAAATATAAAAGCTGTTTGATTTAAAAAGGAAGAAAAAGTTTATTTTACATGACCATCTGAAAAGATCCACACCATTGGAGGGAAAGTGTGCTTTCATTGGATTGTGTTGTAATTGTTTTAAATATCTTTTTCTTTCAGGTCATTAACAGTACTTCTTACTCTGCAGTAATGACGTCACTGGTAAGTCCCTCAGCGTCTACAGTCATCGTCATTTATGCCCTATTAGTGTCTGTTTCAAAAAAAAAAAAAAAAACAATTATAGTAGTAAAATCTTCATCTTTCAGAATCTGAAGAAATTATATTTGTGGCTGTAGTACCACGCTGGCAGAACAGTGTTTTACTAAATAACCTGTGCCCTGGCCAAATTCCCTCCATCGGCCCTTAACCATCATGACCTCCCAATCATCCCCATCCACCATATTGGCTCTGTTTTGGCAGTGCTCTACACTCCACCAAACCAAAGTCTCGATTAATTGAAGCTTTTAACTCTTACGATTAATGAAAGATTCATTTATTTATTTATTTGTTGCCCTCTCCACGCCGCCTACACTCGTCAATGCTACTAAGCTGTCCAAAGTGGGGTCACGTAACTCCACACGCGGTAGGGAAAGTAACTGAAAAAATTGACCTGGAAAAATGATCGATTATAGACTCTTAATGTTGATTTCGATGTATTGCCCAGCCCTAGTGGTAGGTTTTTCAGCCATAACATTGTTGCTAAGAATTTTGGTTTAGTCAGGTTTAGGTCAGGACTCTGGGCTGCCAGCATGCAAAAGCAACATTTTCCACTTTAAGGTACTGCTTCATCAGTTTGTGCTGGGACAGAGGACATTGTATATAAATTTAATTGCTGATTGGATGAGAAATGCAAGAAAGGAAGCACTTGGGACGTGTTGCTGAAGGAGATTCTAATAAACTTTTGCATTCACTTTGAAATCTTGCCATATCAGAGGCTAAACTGCATACATGCGTACATTTTCACATGGGAATGGTTACACCGTTTCATTTGGAATTTTGAAAACATTGTTTTTGTTTTGTGAGTTAGGAAATGTTTACCATTGCAAGATAATGAACATTTCAAATGGCCGGCAGTAGTGAAATGTGGAATATGCAAAAACATATGTTTATGATTTCTAGTTGGGTTTGGCTGAATATAGTTCATGTCAGACATGATGAAGTATTATTTTTTTCTCATCATGAAAGGGTTCACAGGGGAGCAGCAGTTCATCCTCAACGGAGTATGTAGTACGAGTTCCAAAGTAAGATTTTTTTTCATTTAATTGTACTTCACTTGCAATCATTTCAACTTTCAGTTTCAAAGCCTACAGAGCTTTGTCAAATAAAGTGGTTGATGTCTTATTTCTGTTTTTGCTCAACAGAAACACCAATAAGAAATACAGTATAATGGCTTTCAATGCTGGTGATAAAGTCAGTTGTTCCACATGGACTCAGGTAAACGGCCGTTACAAAAGGCCATTTTTTTATTGTATGCCACCAGTCCTTTCCTGTCATTTTCTATTTTAGGGGTGCCCAAACCTTTTCTTATAAAGGGCCAAAAAACAAACTTGATTGAGAGCTGTGGGCCAAAAATTAATATACCAAATTGTATTAGATTAAATTTGCCACGTGTAATTTCCTAATTTATTTGCTAATTATTAAAAATAACTAGAAAACATTGGTTTAAAGCATTTAAATTAATGATGCAGTATAATTTTTAATGTTTTATAATGAACTTATTATAGTAAAAATATAAACAATTCCATTTATAACACAATGGAGTTCAATGCTGAATACAGTAGTCGAACTGCATGTCGAAGTCTTGTGCATTGTCCTCTATCTATCAGCTGACAGTATTTACATTCTGATTCATTTACAACATTTAATTGTAGCTCCTCAATTAAAAAACAAAAAACAAAGAAACTAAGATTAGATTAGTTTCAATCAACTCCCCATCATTCTCACTCTCTTTTCAGATAGGATGGTGGGCCAAACCACCACTGGTTTGGTTTGAGCACCTCTATTCTATTTTATAGTGGTCTATATGTCTTGTTTAGGCTCGTATGGAGCGGGACATGAGTAATAGACGTATATATGGTGAGGAGGAGACACAAGAGGGGGCAGCAGGGAGTGAGTTTGGAAAAAAACAGAGAGAAGAAGCAAGGAGGAAGAAGTATGGCATCATTACGAAAGAGTTCAAGGTAGAGGACCAGCCTTGGATCCTTAAAGTTAACGGCAAGGCAGGAAGAAGGTACACTTTATGCTTTTATCTTTTGCATTTAAGTGTTTATTGTTGCAATGATTGTTGTTGTGTCACCATGCATGGGGCTTATGATTTGGGCAGAATAAAAATACTTTTGAATTAAAATCAAACATGACACAAAAATGTCAAAATTTGTAGTAATCAAAAGTGGATTAAGTGGTTATTCAGAAAGTTATTCATGAAAGTTATTCAGATTGCATTTATGGAATAGTTTCTGTGAACCATTCTTTTTTATGTAAAGTCTGCAAGATCCACATAAGTGATGCAGTTATCCGAGTACATACATACTCAATTACTTTTGATGCTTTGTGGTTTTTTTAAGTCTTTTTTAATTTTATTTTTCATCTGCTGTCTCATTTAATGAGGACATGATCAAGTAAACTAAAATTTTAAACGAAGCTCTGATAGTGGCTTTTTGCACTTTAACATTGCATTTGATAAAACTTGATTAAAATTATTAGTACAGTTTATTATAAATTTTTTAGAAATAATATTCTTTCTAATCAGTGTCTTTCATTCCTTTTGTTTTGCTATTTAATGATTAAATCAGTTGATTGACCAAACCATTAAAATGAAAAAAAAAAAACATTTAACGTCTTTCCTGGTTATTTTTAAAATTGTTTATCATCTATTGAAGTTAAAAATACTATTTTGCTGGAGAAAATGAGGACATCAAAAGGCGAGTCATTATCACATTTTCTGGGACTGCTCTGTTATTAAAAAATATTGGAAAGAAATACACAATGCATTACCATTACCAAAAAATGGTTGTCACAAAAGTCCCACACTAAATACAAGGATGGAAATTACAATGGATATTTCTTAAATGTAGCAAATACTGCATTTGTGAATCAGAAAATGGAACAATTTATTTCATTCTTGGAAAATGGACCAATTATGCAACATCCCTTAAACTGAACTTTTCCGTTAACTTAAAATCGAAAGGATCAATTCCTACCTGTACAGTTTTGTTGCTGATATGCATGTATATATTTTTTGTATTTATTTATTTTTACTTGTTTGTCTCCCCCCTTCTTTTTTTTGTTTAATCTATTTATTATTATTTTTATAACAGTTTACATGTGCACAAAAGTAAAAGCATACATTGCTTAAAGAGAAAATGGATGCATATATATCGTTATATTTGTGAGTGTATTCAGATGTAAGATATCTGACATGTATCTGTAAGTGAAAAACTATTTGAGACAATTAAAAAAAATAATTTAAAAATCTATTCATTATTTTCAAAATTTTCTCTCTTATTGAAAATTGTAATTCTTATAAATATTAGTCTTGCCATTAAAAAGCCATCCACTTTTAAGGTGGCAATAAACTAAATCTGAATAAAATGTGCTCATGACTAATTAAAACCATCGCAACCAGTCGTGCTGACACAATGAGCTGATTTCGGATTTGTTGTTGGTGTTTAATTGCATTTAAAGTGTGTTATTATTTGTTTAGATCTTGTTTTACTGCTGTTTTCTTTCTCTTTGCCACTCAGATTTAAGGGTATAAAAAAAGGGGGCGTTACAGAGAATGCGTCCTACTACATCTTCACACAGAGTGCCGATGGTGCTTTTGAGGCATTTCCCGTGCACGCCTGGTATAACTTCACACCACAGGCCAAACACCGCACGCTCACAGCTGAGGAAGCAGAGGAAGAGTGGGGCAGGTGAGGGCAAACCTGATTTCTCTTCTGCATTACAAGCTTGCAGTTTGATGATTGCAGCTCATTATTTTTCATTTAGGAGAAACAAAGTGGTGAACCACTTCAGTATCATGCTCCAGCGGCGTTTAAGAGAACAGGAGCGAGGAGGAGGAGATGAGGATGAGGAGGAAGGAGAAAAAGGCACAAAGAAAAAGAAGAAGGGAGGCAGAGGAGGTGACCTGCGAATTCATGACCTCGAGGAAGATTTGGAAATGAGCAGCGATGAAAGTGATGGCAGCAATGGAGATGGTGAGGGTGAGCAAAAGGGTCAGAGAGGAACATGAGTGTGCCTTATCATGCTTTTTATTTAAAGATCAAAGTACATAATGAATATTCAGTAATCAACATTTGATTTTGAATGGGTGTTGTTGAATCATTTTAGGACAACTTTGATGAAAGGTTTTGATTCGTTTCAGATGTTGACTACTTTAGTTGTCTCTTAACAAAAGAGTGAGTTCTAAACCACTCATTCCAATTTAATTTTTCTTATCAATACATATTGATATGTAACATGCTTGTGTTACCAGTCTATCTTTTTCATGGGCTGCCTGCCAACAGCATCTATTTTGACCCTCCAACACAGTGGCTTGTTCGTATCAACATCATGTCTAGAAGCGTTTTTTGTCAATGTCACCAAAACAGCTAAATCTACTGTTTGCTTCATATCTGTGCTTTGTTGTTTTTTTTCCCGAGAGAAATCATTAATATGAAGTGCAATGTAGGGCTAAATCAAGTTTCACACAATCATAAGTGAAGAAGCTGCATACACAAGGTGTCCACAGATTTTTAAAGTCTTAAATTTAATAGTGCAAAGATAAGGCCTTAATTAGTATTTAAAATGTCTTAAATCTGCATCTTAAAAATTAAATCAAACCAACCTCATAAAGAAGACATTGTTTCAGTTTTCTATCTAATTTTCACCCTGAATTAAATATGCAGGACACAATAAAGTAAACCCTCATGGGTATTTCACTTACACAAGCAAATTTTGTGGGGATTTCACTCTATTATAGCTTTTTATCACGGCTGAAAGAAACCTGTCATGATTTTCTTAAACAATATTGCGATTTCAATTTTAATCACGTTTTTGACACACACAGACGTTATACAGTGTGAATGTGAAATGTAAGTCCAAAGGAAATGTATTAGATCTTTCTTTATAAAGACTGTAACGTCTCCAAAACAGACATAAAGCAAAAAAAAAAAAAAAATCACCTTCTGAAGGTCTAATAAATTGTCTCTAGACAAAACAAATAAATAGACTAGTGTGTGTGCGTGCGTGCGTGTGCGCACACACGCTTTCAAACGATGTTCTGTTTGACCACATATCAGAAGTAGTTATGTGTACTTTTGTATGTGTCCACAAATTTATTTTTGCCATGCATAGCTCTTAGATCTCTTTGTGATGCTGCCGTGAAATGGGCCATTCACATATTGCATCTTTTGCATAAGTTAGTTATTTCCAATGGAGGTGCCCAGCTTACACGTATATTGGGAGTGAAGCATGTATTCCATGCACACCCAGTTGAAAACATCTCCACTTTTGAGAATGCTGTACTGCGAGTCACGTAACAAGAACTGACATACAAGTGACATGCCTTCCCCTTTCCATATGCTATAAGATGCGATATTTGACTGAGAGGTCTTATGAATTACCTGATTCTGTGATACATCAGTCTTCCTCTATCCAAAGTAATCCCACACCCCAGATGTTGACTTTTTTTGGGCACCAAGCCCTCCTGTGCTGAACTCATTATCCCTGTTATGCAGTTTTTTTGTCATTAACCTCAATCTCCTGTTCTCGCGCTCTGTTTAGACGTGCTGCATTATGATTGGTTCAAACAGCATAATGTGGGAAAATCTGTAAAGCGATTTAGATATCACGTGTGTTCAAATCGGGATTTTGATACGATTTCAATTAATCCCACATCTTTACTTTCTATAAATAATAAAGAGTGTTTCTGGCTTAATACTATTAGTAAAATCTATCAGCATAGTCTACTGTATACAATTTTCAATGTTCTGTTAAATGTGTTACCTGTGCAAGCAGTAGCCTGTCACAGGGTACTAAACCATGTGACCAATCAGAAGAGGCTCTTGGAAGGAGGGGTTTAGAAACGATAAATCAAATAAATGATTTGAGCTCTGTGAGAAATTAGATCAATTTAAATTAAAGCATATTTTGAGAAAATAGAGGCCTTTTGTGAGTGTTTTTGAATGTGGCTACTTGTAAACTAATTGTAGGAGATCTTCAAATTAATGTGAAAAACATTTTACATGGCATAATAGGGGCAGTTTAAAAAAATGTTTTCTTTTATTGCAGATGATGAAGCCAAGGCGAAAGCTAAAAAGGAAAAAGGTGCCAAAGGCAAGGGAAAGAAGAAGAAGAAAAAGGGCAGCGACTTAGAAGGATTTGAGGACAGTGACGATGGTGACTTTGAGGGTTTGGAGGTGGACTACATGTCTGATGAGAGCAGGTGATTGAAGTGACACAAATATTCATATGGTCATTGTTTTGCAGTCTTAATCATCATCATCGCCATTCTTTTTTCCTCCAGTTCAGAAGAAGAAGAACCAGAGAAGACCAAGCCCAATAAGGGAGAGGATGTTCCTAAAGGTTGGGGATTCAGAAGGTTTTATTCTTTTTGCAGGAATGAGCTTTGTCTAGTCCTGATATATGATTTGAGATGGCTTTGTGAAGCTCTGATGGTTTTCTTTCAGGGATTGATGAAATGTCTGAAAGTGAGGAAGAGAGTGAGGAAGAGACCAAGAATGAGGAAGAGAATAAGGAAGAGGAAGAGGAGGAAGATGGGAAGAAGACGCCAGTGCAGGTGGAAAAGAAGAAAAAGAAAGGTACGAGCAACCTCATATTATAGTTGTATATGATGTTTTTTTCTGTTCAAATCAAGGCGTGTAACTTAAAAGTCTTACTTAAATAAAGAAAGGCTTATTTATTTTTAAAATGTATAATCTTTAAATGACAAAAGACTTTTCATTTATGTTTTATAGATAAATATCTCTGTAAAATTACAAAAAAAAAAAAGAAAACCCCTTAAATAGGCAAATAAAAGAGGCAAAAAATATGACTGATGAAGTACTTTTTAAAATGTAAGTTAAATACTTAAAATATGGTTAAGAAGCATATCTGAATTGCTTTTCTGAATGATTTATGTCTGTTTTAGGATTTCAGCATTTCCTGGAAAATTAGAACCTCACAATATAAGTTGCACCAGCTCAGAATTGTATTGTTAGGAGGAAAAAACACACAGATTAGCTGTTTTGGTGTTGAAGTAATATTTTACAATTTAGTCAGAAATAACTAAAAATTGGCAACTACTAGTCCTAAATAAAACTAATTGTTTACAAAATATATTTCAGTTCCTTTAACTTCAAATAAAGGTCCTTTAATGTAACTGTATTCAGAAGAGAACAATAAATAAAAGTAAATAAATAAGTATAAAAATGTTTTTTGGGGGAATTCAATAAAGTATGTTTGTGATTTTATTCAAGCCAAAAAAAAAATGTATTTGAAGAAATGCTCATCAATGCTAATGTGCCTTTATCATTTTAGACGAATTCAAATCTCTGCATATTTTGAGCAAATTTAGCTTGTTTAATGCTATTTGCATTATGTAAGTTACTGTATAATATAAGCTGCAGCTTGTTTCAGAAAAAAAATATATATTCTACAATACAATTTATTATTTTTAAGATAAAAGGTACTATTTGATATTAAAATCCTTATGTATTTCAGACAGCAGCGGCGAGTCCGACAGCTCTGAGGACAGTGATATTGAAGGAGAGGCAGCGTCAGCACTGTTTATGGTGGTAATGGCCTATATTTGTGTGTGTGTGTGCGTGTGTGTGCGTGTGTGCGTGTGTGCGTGTGTGCGTGTGTGCGTGTGTGCGTGCGTGCGTGCGTGCGTGCGTGCGTGCGTGCGTGCGTGCGTGAGTGTGTGTGTCTGTGTGTGTGTGTCTGTGTGTGTGTGTCTGTGTGTGTGTCTGTCTGAAAAAGAAATATGGATGTTGTGTTTTGATGACATTTCATGTGAATATGGTACAGTGCTTTTTTCTTGTTGTCTCTGTCACAGAAGAAGCGCACACCTCCTAAGCGAGGAGGTGGCCGTGGCTCAGCAGGCAGTTCAAGAACAGGTAGTCGACCAGGCACACCATCTATTGATAATGCTGCCACTTCCAACACTCTCCGTGCTGCTGCCAGCAAACTGGAGCAAGGTACACTCAACAAAACTCAGTTATTAAAAATTATATTCAAATGTATTAATTTTTATGACGTTGTGGTAGTAGATATAATAAAAAAATACTAAAGCCACCTTTCCACTGCACAAAATACACCCCCTTGTGTCAGTCACATAGAATATTTAGTTTTGTCATTTACCATGGTAAGTGGATTCCAGCGGTGGTGTCTAAAATAATGGAGTGCAAAAGCAAGAGCCTTTAGTTGAATGAATGAATGAATGAATACTAGAAACTCATCATATTAATTAATTACTCATCAGGGAATGTGGAGACAAGATTAAAAATTACAATATTTTTTATTACTCCTTTATGAATAGAATTTTATTAGACTTATTAGACTTTTTTTCAGATTCTAAACGAAATAACGAAATAAACTCCTATTTGTCATCTCGCTCGCATGGACCTGCTTGGACAACACTGGAATACATCACATCCGGTCGGCTGGTCACAGACGGTGTAGTCGCAGGAGTTCAGATCAGATCCAAATTTTCTGCATATCGGAACTCCATGCAGCTCTTGGACTACTCTCCATTGAAAATGAATGACTTCCTGTCTGTCGCTTCTCATGTGCTGTGGAAAGGCAGCTTAAGAATAAAAAAAATTAGTAGTACTTTTACTTTTAAATTAGAATTTTGAATCAAACTTGCAGTTAAAACAATCCCCCAACAATGTTAGTTTTCTTATTTAGTCTCCCTTACATCAGCATTGTGTGTGTGTGTGTGTGTGTGTGTGTGTGTGTGTGTGTGTGTGTGTGTGTGTGTGTGTGTGTGTGTATAAGCAATAATAATAGAAAGAATAGAGACAAAGTTAACATGACTATGGAAAAATATTATATATATATTTTTTTTTTATCAAATAAATTTTTTATTTTTTTTTTCTATTAACTATTGCTTCCAATTGATTGTCATTTGAGATTTGATGCTCTGTAACAATCATTTGACAATTTGTTTTGTGAAACTTCACATCATATTTATGGTAATGTCAACTAAAAGTAATGGTTATAGTTTTAACAAAATGCATTTTCTTACGTCTGCTGGGGTTATAAGGATTACTGTCGTGCTCACTTTGTGTGGTTCAGGAGCTTCCATTAAGTGCTTCCATCATTCTGTTTCTAAAATGTAAATTTGTGTTCACAAAGTAATGTTTAACTATGATGCTGTGTATATGACTAATTGATGACCGTGTTCAGTTTTGGTTTGAGTGCCACTTTAAAAGCTTATACTATTTGCCTAGTATTTCCTTATTTAATTTTGTCTTTCTTTTTTAGTTCAGAAGTTGTGGCAAAATTTAAACTCTTAGATATAAACATGTTTCTGCACTTCTATCTCAGGTAAGCGACAGACAACTGTGCCGAGCTCAGAAACTCCAGCAGCCAAGAGATTAAAGATGGAGCCCAGTCCTCAAAGCTCCTCAGGGAAAAGCACACCACAGCCAGCGTCAGGGAAATCCACCCCCAGCGCCAGGTACCTCATCCCCAGAGACATACAATCATCATCTTGTTCTCTTTAAGGCTTGTGCACACTGGGACCTTTTTTGTTTGCGCTTATCGTCAACATTTTCACTTGGGAGCAAAATCACTCTTTGACGTTAGATAGAGCTTAATGAAAAACAGAAATACCCTAGTACACAAGCGCAGTGCAACTTTGTGTGTTTGACACTTGCTTGTTACATAGAAAAAGAGCATTTATGCACCTGTTAAAACAATCACACAGTATTTGTTAACTGGCAAACAAAACAAGGTTGTTTCAAGAATGAAATCCTATTTGATCTGCAAATCCTCTCCATAACAACTCCCTATTGATAACATTTTTGTACTCTACAAACAGCTCCACATTAGGGCTGCTCAATTTTGGGAAAAATCATAATCACGATTATTTTGGTGAAAACTGTAATTACGATTATTCAAAACGATTATTAGTTGAATTCTAAATTATTACCGCTCCTGAGATTTTTTTTTTTAAATAAATATTTCCCAAAAGATGTTTAAAAGAGCAAGGAATTTTAACAGTATTTCCTCTAATATTTTTTCTTCTGGAGAGGCGTATTTGTTTTATTTTGGCTAGAATAAAAGTAGGTTTAAATTTTTTGAAACCAATTTTAAGGTCAATAATATTAGCCCTCTTAAGCTATATTTTTTTTGAATCTGCAACTATATGTATATATATAGTTTATATATATATATATATATATATATATATATATAGTTTATATATATATATATATATATATATATATATATATATATATATATATATATATATATATATATATATAATATGAGCAATTCCATGAAAATGTCAACCTTATCATGAAAAAATAAACTTTTGACCAAAAAAACAAAACCTATTTAAATTTGCTCATTAAGGTCTATATTTTATTGTAATGATGTGCTCTTGTTGAATTTTTAAGGAAATTGGTGTGTTTATCCATGAAATATGAGGATTGGGCCAATGGTAAATTTCATTATAATCCAACCACATTTCGTGCTTTAAAAAAGGGATTAAAGACTCACCTTTTCCATGCTTTATGTTAACAGTAATCATTCTGCAGAAGGATTGGAGTCTGTAGTATAAATAATTACCCTTACTTTTTCATAACATTACTGCCCTTTTGATTTATGAGCTACATATTTAAGACATCACGCAGCTTCGGTCACGTGTCACGTCTGTAACGATTTAATGAAAAAGTTTATATTGTGGAATAAATATTATAACAAATAAAATGAAACTTTGTATACAAAGCCAAAATATGTCCATACTAATTATGATCGCCAACTCATCTCAGGTCTTTGCTTTAAACAACCACAATTTTGCGTTACGGACGTGACCATTTTTGAACTCCTTATTAATATAAACCATTGACTAGCGCATATTTGTTCATTATGATGCTGCATTACAATTACTGACTTGCATTACATAACATCCATATGTTATATCAAGAACTGAACATTTCAGTTAACTATAAACCATTTTAGTAACATTTAAAAAATAAATGTTTAATAAAGAGAACAACATTTTACTTGCCATAATCTTGGCGCATAATCATGGTGTTTTGGCGATGCAGCACCTTGTGTTGAAGCACTTCTTGTTTCTTTTGTAGATAGGCTAACTGACCGTCAAATAATAGATCAAATAGTTAAGATACAATTTATGCCAAACTAGGAATGCTGATTTGGATTCATTTTGCCAACCAACAACCGCTCGTTAAGCGAATATTAACCGTTAACAGATTACTATCAAAATATTATTTAATAAAAAAAAAAAAATTGACGTGCCTATTTTGTCTGACACATTAAATATTGCATTTTAAAATACTGATTTAGGTTATTTTAACATGCGAACAGCATACAGAACGAGCATCTTCAATTAATGCTCCGATGTTATTATATAACAAAACCTGTCAACATTTTTAATAAAAGTCATTAGTTTAAAGATTATGTCTTAGTTATGACTTATTAGCCTATTTCCTGTCTTACTTGCGGTTCATGTGCGCGCGCGCGCTGAGTATAGTGAAAGATAATGACAATCAACCATAAGGCTTTGAACCTATACTTTTTGTTAAATATAGGCTAAGCATATAACAATTTTGTTATTTACATGTGATACTGCATTAATTTGCATACATGTTTTATAAGCTGTAAAATGAAAGCATCAGTTTGGTGCGAAGTTATCCTACAATATTTGGCTTTGTTTGAGTTGTAGATTAGGCTATGTAGGCTATTTAAAAATGTATTTAAGAACTAATAATAACTGTTATTTTCCCAAATGGAAAAAGGTTGGTTTGTTGATTGTAGTCTGCACTAAATCATCAATATACCTAGTTGAGTTTATGACGCGGCTCCAGGCAGCACAGACGACCAGCATCAGCGCTGGTTCGTCAACTCCTGTGTCAAACTGTGGCCAGAATATCCTTCTTTCATTTTGCTTCTTTGGCAAAATACATCTGTAAACACGTGTGTTTGCACGTGTTACTTTTCTGCGAGTTAACAAATATGTGTTGCTCATAGGCCGATCACAACGAACGCGATTTTTCATTCCAGAGACGTGTGGCGCTCCGCAATGCATTTTATATTGACAAGGAAAAAAAGGAGCGCGGTGCTCTTTTGAATGTCACTATAGGTAACACTTTCAAAGCTTGAAAATAGGCTATAGCCTACATTAAAATGAAAACATTTTCAAAGATGTCCTGCACCCGGGAAATGTGCTTGGAGTGCTTATTAAAATTATTTTACAGGCGGCAAAATAAGAATAAAATCTTGATATTGATCTAAGCTTTAACTACGTTATAGGAGTATTTAATTTGTTAGTAAATCGATAGCACCTGCAGCTGTAATGTCATTCAATATTTTACACAATCTGTTATTTACTATAGCCTAAAATTATAAACATTATAGTCATCCATCGTACATGCCTGCAATTAATGGCTATTTTTCACAAAACCTTTCATAATAAAGTTTTCTCTCTCATCCTGGTCCTCTGTATGAACTTTTTGCAACCTGTCCTGAAGTGACTGCCGACGAGAAAAAGAAAGCAAGCGCGAGTGGAAAAATTAAACTATTTAATCAATCGAATAACACATTAACTAGAATAAACTAAAATAAACTTTGTCAAATATAATATTGCCATAACTGTGACACAACTACATTTTGAATATTCTCCACGTAGACACGGTCTTGCGCACTAACAGTCAGGCAATGATTCAATTCAAGTTTGTCTGGAAAGAAGCCCGATAAACATAGGCCTATTATAGCTGATTATGTTTATTATCAATTCTATATTATTCAGAGAATAAAAGCACCATGTTAGCATGCAACATTGTTTCCGAATTGAGATTTGAACATTCGAATGTGCGTTAACCTTTAACAACACACATGCCATAATACGAATTAAATATAACAAGGTGATATCTATTTAAGTTTGATTAATTGTGCAACCTTACCATTCAGATGTCTCAGAGGTTAAAGTTTATTGGTTTACACACCCAACAGATATCCACAAATAGGTATTTTGTCAAGTTTTGAAAGCATTTATCTGATTTTCATAATGTGTCAACTGTCAATTTCAGAGCAGTCACGTCCGTAACGAAGACAAGTCACGTCCGTAACGATAGTTTTCCCTCATTAATGCAAAAATGAAAAACTAAATAAAATGAATTATAAATGTCCCATGCAGAGCCAACCCTTATCCTTTTGACTGTTATATATATTTTTGGCTTCTGCATTTTTATTCACAGAATTTTAACCAAGTATGTCAACTCACAAAACTCATGTCTTTTTTTTGTCACGTCCGTAACGCATTAATTTTGCCGTCATTTTAAATATAAAACACCTGCATAGACTGATATTTTTTGATGCCTAAACTCCATGGGTAAGGGGTAATAAAAATATAAACAGATATTTCAATATACTGTTAACATATACATTCTCCGAGTATATACGTTTCATTTTTTTACTGCAAATGTCACGTACATAACGCTGGAATCAGCCATATATATATATATATATATATATATATATATATATATATATATATATATATATATATATATATATATATATATATATATAGTTCTTTTCCACCCTGCAAAGGAAAGCGAAATAAATACAATAGTATAAAAATATGAAATAAACTTTGATTTAAGCATCTTCACCATAAGAAAAACACTTTTAAGCTAAACACTTAAGCTTTTCCTTTTATTTGATTAATAATCATAATAACAGGTGGCATCAGGGATATTGCGCACAGTCACTTTAATGGTTTCTCTTTCACGTGTCTTTTGATTTTCAACTCGTTTGTTTATTACACAAATGACGGTTAATATGAATAATTACTGAACACCACGTTTTGACACCTATATGACCATTAAACGCTCACATTAAGATGACTTAAGGTGTGTGCGCTCTGCACGTCTCAGTGTGCGAATGAGACCGAATGCTGACCACATGCTTCTGACTGAACAGAATCACACACACAGAAACATGCGGTCAAGCAACAAAAGGTGGCGCTATATGATGCAATAATGGCTTATCCCAATTAATGGTTTTTCATAATTGTTAGAAGCCAAAATTGAAATCGAAATCGGATTTTTGATTAACTGCACAGCCCTGCTCCACATTCAACTTGCCTTCTAGCGGTATATGCACAGCTAGTGTTCCTCCCCATACTGATAAACTTAAAGTGAATGGTTGATTTGACTTTTTTCAGTTTTTTATGGTTTCTTTTACAGCATTGATGTTGTAAAGTAATTAAAATAAAATCAGTTAAATAGACTTCAGCGTTGAGATGCAAAGCCTTTTACACATACGCGCCCATCAGGATAAGCAGGCAAGTGCAGAAGCTCCAAAATAAACGTTCATATTTTAAAGACATGGTGGGGAAAAATGTCATTTATGCAGTGCTTGTACATTCTGAGACCTATTTATATATCGTATATCACTCAGGCAGTGGAGATCGTTGGTTTTTAAAGAAAACAGACCTTAAATGATGCAATAATTGTAACAGCATACATAAAAAAATAAGAGTCCTTTTGCATACTTCTGCATATAACCTAGTGGTGTTTCCAGTAGCTATAGCATCTCCAGACATAAGTAACTTCCTATCAGTTTACTCATTCTAATGTGACGCATAAAACAACAACAAAAAAAAGAGCAAGAGTACATTTTATTTTTATATATGACACTTTTTAATTCTGCCGTTTTGTGAAATTGTGGGCACGCTCACATTGGTGACCATTTGTTTAGTCATGAAATGTTACACATCAGCGGTAAGCATGAGTGAGAATTGTACGGTTTGCACAGGCCTTTAGCTTTCAAATGTTTATTCTATCCTTCCATCTCTGAGAATTTTACTTAGTTATACTTGCATTAAGCCATGGAGTGCAGAATCAAAGACTGTAAAGTGGCATGATATATTCAACAAAATCAGAATGAGGTTGTTTCAAGTGTTTGAAACAGCTTGCCAAATGAACTTTCTAGAAAACATCTAGCACATTTCAGAGCAGCTTCAGTAAAAACTAAAGTAATCCAGCAACACTAGCTATGTTTCCCTCCAAAAATGTGAATTAACTTTATTCGCACACCTTTTATGCGATATTCTAGTTTTGTGCATAAAGCAAAGTTTCCATCCAACAAGTCAAACAAATCAAAATTGTCACTTCCTAATTAACTGGCGCCAAATATCAAAAGTAAAAGGAACTTAATTTCCTGAGGTATGAGAAGCTGTGTGAATCTTTTACTTAATTAAATAAATGACTTGTGCCTCAGAAGATGATGCTGACACGCAGTTAACGCACAGCACAGACACTCTTAGCCGTTCTGGAGGTAATATAATAACACTAATACTGAATTGGTTAGTTAGGGTGTTTCAGACTGACCAAAATAACATTTCATGTTTTACAGTGTGCTAAGCCTGCTGGTTTGTCCACTCACACACATCTTTTATCATCACATAATCAAAATCAATGACTTTTTTAATGCGCATACTAAAATTTGTTTAGTGAATGTCTTTATACGCATTTTTTCTTATCGAATAAAAAGTTTGTCCTACTCCGTTATACACGTAAATTGATGCACATCTTGGCGTTTCCATAAACATTTTTTCTTTTATGTGCATGTTGGATATGCATATAAATAAAAAAAGGTGGATGGAAACATAGTTACTGACACATTTATTTCGCAGTCAGCACTGTAAAGCTGCTTCCGTTTAACCAATAACTTTTGTAAGGGACTAAATACTAAATAAATGTGAGCTGATTGGAGGGTCAGAGTTACATTGCTATGACTATATTTACACATCCAATTGCTGCTCCCAGCAATGTTGGAAATGTTTTGCTGAGTATATTGCTGAATGGAAAAAGCAAAGAATGAAATACTTAGCTTCAATTATATCAAGTCTTTAACAGTATGTCACTGTGTATTAGACCTACTTAATGTAGCAACACATTACACCAACTTTTTCCTTTCAAATTTTAAAAAGCACTGCCAGAGTTACTGACCATTTTAACTCTTAATTATTTCAATATTGTAAATAAAATCCTTTTCTCTCTCCCCTTTAGTGATGTGCTGCTGACAGAGGATGCGGTGCGCAGGTATCTCATCAGAAAGCCCATGACCACTAAAGACCTGCTGAAGAAGTTCCAGACTAAACGCACAGGCCTCAGCAGCGAGCAGACAGTCAATGTGCTCGCGCAGATCTTAAAGAGGCTCAATCCAGAGAGGAAGAACATCAATGACAAGATGCACTTCTACCTCACTGAGTGAAACTCTAAGCATCCATCACCAGCAGCCTCGCCTTCAGGAATGCAGCTCATTTTGGTGAACACCTACTTTGTTTTGCTGTCATTTTGCTTTTAACAGTCCAGTGTTTATTTACAGTAGTCATTAAACTGCTGCTCATTGAGTTAAAGCTGAGAATACCGGAGGTCAAGAGTAAAATGACAAAGAAACGTTGCAAAGAAAGATAGCACAGTGAGTTTTTGTATATTGTAGATATAGGAAATGTGTGATTGTAAATTTCACATTTATGCATCTTAATGAGAAGCTGGTTAATGTTTTTCCAAGAAAGAAATTAAATAAGGACTCAGAAAATGTGAAGATGTGGCTTTTATTACACACTCATTTGTTCTAATAGATTTTTTTTTTAACTGGCTTAACATTGTGCTGATTTAAAAAAAAAAACTGTAAAAGGTACCATATTTTGCTGGCGCTTGCCCTTTGTAGTATGATATATCTGTTTTGAAATAAATACCTATTGGTTTTTATTTGAAATTTGATGCCCTCTATGCAATAATGATTTATTATTTAAGAGGAACGTTAATAATGAATACAAAAATTGACATTGTACATAGAAGCAGTTGACTGGTCTCATCTTTTTTCATACTCCATTTATATGATAAATTACATGAATCTGATCTCTTCCCTTCATAAATTCTCCAGAGGCTTTAGTTCCCCCCACATAGTCTCTTTTTTGTGGTTATTCAAGGAAAAATACATCAGACTGAAGATTGAATCAACAGAGGTCTCTTTGGTTTTCAAGACAGGTGCTATGATCAGTCCAGGCTCAGTTGTTTTACATTGGCAGGTTTCGGCATATCACAGAGATGCGGCGATGACGTGGAACCTTCTGTCCAGAGAAAAAGGACTCTTCATCTTTTAAGATTTCATGGGTGAATTTAAATCGTGCATCATCCCTGTTGATTTAAAGTAGTAGTGTTTTAGAGGTAAAATTACTTCATATTCTATGATAACAGAAATTTTATTTAGTTCTCTTATCACTTGAGAAATTTGGGGGGGTGGGGATAATAAATATGTAAATATTTACCGTAATATATAAAGTGAGCGCCGACTTAGAAGCAAATCCACCCGATCTGTGGTATTGTTTTCCGGGACCAGTCGCATTATACTATCGGACAACAAGCTCAGCCCTGCAATGGTGCTTCCACAGAACTGACAGGACAAATGACATGGAATGATGAACATGTAGGTATGAAGAACACCAGTGGTACACAAATATCTGAGAGACAGACCTTCACACTGTCGATATGGGGTTTGATGTAGCCCTTTTTGTCCAAGTCCAGAACATGAACAGGCCCAAGCAGAGGACTGCCTTCAGGAAACGCGACTGTTCTTACTCGCCTTAAGATGTTTTCTGACGCAGCTCCCCATTGCAGACGCTCTGTTTCCCTGTAGCCGTGGATGGCCTGAGTTGGGGGAAAATAGTGATGCAAATTAGGGATGCAATTTGGAATATCCATATTGCAGTGAAGTGCAATAAATTAAGTTTTTTTTTTTTGTGCCAAGCATTTGTGTGCTACCCAATATGGGTTGTTAATCAATAGGTTATTATACAAATCTGACCAATCAGGAGCTTTTACTCTCTTTATCACCACCGTTCCAGTAGGTGCTGTTAGGTTACCGTATAGCTAAAAAAAATACTAATGCTGGGTGACAAGAGATAAATGACAACTGCCAAAAAACATAATAAAATCTGAATATCTAAAGAGATTCTCAGTCATTTGTGAGGTTTGAAAGTCTAAATGTTTGCACCTTGGTATAATTTTTTTTTAAAAAGTTTTATTTGGCATAGAAAAAAATTACTAAAATACTAAATTATTTTAGTATGTATGATAATTGCAACAACATATATATATTTAAAAATAAATTGCTGATAAAGTTGTGTTTTGTAAGTTAGTTGTGTTATAAGAATTAATGTTATTGCAACACTCGACAAGAATATCCAATATTTTTCCCAGTATCGTGCACTGCAGCCCTAATGCAAATAACAGCCTAATACATAATACACATTCCTAACTTTCTTTCAAACATATATGGTTTGTAGTTTCAGAGTCAGAGCTTCTGTGAACTCGGATAACGTGAAAGTAATTAACATGAATTAATTGCAAAAAATAAACAGAAAAAAGAACAAATATTCTTTACAAAATTATTAATAAAAATATTTTAAATCAAGTCATGCTTATTAATAGAAGTTCCATTTAATGTATATTTAAGATGATTTTTTACACAACGATGGCACTTTTGGGCACCTGAAAGTGTAAACCTCTGAACATTGGTTTCAAAGTTCAATTCAATTCAATTCAGCTTTATTTGTATAGCGCTTTTACAATGTAGATTGTGTCAAAGCAGCTTCACATAAATGGTCATAGTAACTGGAACAGTGTAGTTCAGTTTTTAGTGTTTAAGTTCAGTTCAGTTTAGCTCAGTTCAGTGTGATTTAATCATTACTGAGAGTTCAAACACTGAAGAGCAAATTCATCGATAAGTAGCTCTACCAATCCTGAGCCATGCGAGCCAGTGGCGACAGCGGAGAGGGAAAAAAAACTTCACCTAATGGTAGTGAAGAAAAAAAACCTTGAGAGAACCAGACTCAGTTGGGCACGACCATTTTAATTTCTCCGCTGGCCAAAAGTCTTGTGCAGGGCTTCAGTCGCCGTGGTGGCAAGTGCCAATTTTAGAAAACAATGCTATGATTTTGTGCAAAGGGTAAGATATTGAATTAAGGCTATTATTAATTGACATTTTCTCTTTCATGTGTGAACAGGCTTATTTTGACATTGTAATCTATACACAAACATTTAAAAAATTTTGTTCTAGCACAAAGTTGTTATTAGGCGTATGACAGTATGATTTTTTTTTTTTTATTACGATATATCACAACATAGACAAAAAGTTATTTAACAGGTATAAGATCTTCCCTTCTGTATGCACAACACAAATTTTCAAGTAATTTACAAAAGGATTTTAAAGTACACTTCAGTAAGGTCTCATTATTACTAAATGTTTTTAGTTTTCATACTTTAGTTTGGTTAATGTTAATGAATAATAGGCCTGCAAACACAACAATGTAAATTATTCTTTAAAATATGATGTAAAAGTTCAAATAGTAATTTCATTTATGTTCATTACCCACTTTATACTGCTAATAAGTACGTCGATCGTATTATTTATCATGTAAATAATATTAAAAAAAAAAAACTTCAGTACAATTTAGATTCAAATAGCCAAACACTTTAATCAAGTAGCCCCGCCCAAAAACGTGATTGGAAGGAAAACGCCCAAATATATTTCTTATTGGCTAACGCAGATTGTTCCCGCTCAAATTCGTTATTTCGGCGTTCAACGTTTTTTAAGAAACGTGGTATGTATGGGCACACACCGATTTATTTTAACTGACATTATAGACATGAAGGTTTTTAAAGAAAACCTTGTTTGTTGGAACAAAACTCCAGAAATGGCACGTAAAAAGTTTTTAGTTACACGAGTTTGTTTCATGAAATGACGCTGGGTCGCGGCGTTAACTGCAGGTAAAAACACTTCTGTTACTTACGTCGTCCCAGTGGTCAAATTCGTACCGCTTTTTCCTAAGTCCTGCCTCTACTTCTTTAAACAGGGCGTTCTCCTCTTCCTCGCTGATGAAGTTCTGTCTGACTTCAACCTGTCCACGCATTGCCGACAAAATTTCTTCGGACGATCCACACAACCATTTACACTCATCTGTACACTCGGGGCCTTTTCGTAAAGCTGAACTCTCCGAGAAAATCCTGTAAAGTGAGGTATTTTGCAGAGATTTCCTCTGAATTTGTCTGGATACTCTAATTAGTAGTGTCATGTTGTCGAGACCATATGTTGAGGGAATAAAATAGGCTATACGCGCAATATTCTGTGTACCAGTGTCAGTACTGTCATTGGCAATCCGCCATTTTGATTTCGCTAAGATTTCTGGGACTTGTAGTTTCAGTCTTGCAGTCCAGCATTATATTTATTGACAAAATACCATTAATTGCCAAGTAATGAGTGTGAGCAGCAACGGTAATTAAACAAACATTTTAATCACGCCTTTAAAAAAAAGTTAAACAGATTTAAGACCAGACACTGCAGGTAAAAAAAAAATTACGATTGAAAAGAAAGGATTTTTTTTTCAGACGAATGAAAATAAAAACATCCAAATTAAACTTCAAGTGCTTATTGCAGTTAATCAACTTGTGTCTGTAGAATTAGTGCATATAAGCAATTCCAGCGATATGAATGTGATATTTGCAATAAAAATTCTAAATATAAACTGACATAGAAAGAATTATATTAATGTTATATTGAAACATCTGTTTATATTGTCCAAAACAATAACCAGAGTTATGGGATCAGAAAAATATCAGTCTGTAAACATGTTTTCTGTTTTAAATGAGGACAATAAACAGCCAAAAAAGTCTGCGAGTTTACAGTATACAACATACTTTGTAGAAATTCTGTGAATTAAACTGCACAACCCAAAATAAATTATGCTAATCAAAAGAATAAGATTCGGCTCATTGTAGAACAAAAATAACTGATTTTATTTTATTTAACATTTTTGCATTTATGAGGAAAAAGCTTGTGTTATGGGTGTGAAATTGGCACTTGTGTGACTTTGGTAAATCAAATATAATTGCTTGAAAACATTGACACAGACATGTATGAGTACTTTTAAAGTACTGTTAAATACTTCCACAAAATATGTAGAAACATTTTTGCCGTTTTGGTCAACTTTTTTCATGGCAATTTTTTTTTTCATGGCAAGATTGACATCTGCATGCATTGCTCATATTTTAAAGGCTGTTTTCTCAAAATGATTTTCTTTTCAACCTGCACTGATCCATGAATCTTCACCTCAGCAGCACTTCCACCACACTTCAGTTTTTATCTATCTTCTAAAGGTCTTTACAGAGAGGTTTTTGTTATACATAATTTGCCTGATTACACTCATAAAAGTCTGCTCTAAATATGATGTTTGCAGTATTTTTTAAATGAATGAATGATAAATAAACCAAACAAAACCTCAGGTGTCTAAAAAACAAGCATTTTGAGCCTGATTTCTACCATTTCAATAAATCAGAATTTGCATATTTAAGCATAATATTTGTTAAAGAAAAAATTGTCAAAACAATTCTTTGCAGTTTTTAATGAAATGAAGCAGCAGCTTCAACTGCAATTCCTCTTCTCAACACCAGAGAGCGACACATGATTATTGCTTATTGTGATCGAAAGAGGAAAACCGTATTTCTGGCTCCTTAAAACGTCATCCCACAGTCCAGTGTTTTCTCTCTGACATAATGCACAATATTTCAACCTTTTCCTGTCTTTGCCCCTAAAACCTCATAACCTCATGTCTGAAATCTTTAATGTTA